GCCGGTTCGGAAGCGAGCGACGCCCGGCCGGAGCTCATGAAGAAACACAGAAACGCCACCTGATTGCTGCCCGCACTTGAGACGCATCTCTTAAATCCGTCTTTCATATCATTCTGCTTTCTTTGACTGTGCAGGAAGCGGAAACTCTGAGCGCGCTTGTCTCCGACGGCCGCTTTGTCTCTCGAAGCTCGTTTGGAGCTCATCAAACGGTTCAAAACCGCCAGAAAGGATCTCAACATCCATCTTTTTCCGAATGATGCAGGAAGCAGAAACTCTGAGCGCCCTTGTGTCTGACGGCCGATTTGCTGTGGACGAAGCGAGCGACGCCCGGCCGGAGCTTCTGAAAGAACACAGACATGCCACAATAAACGCCATCGAATACCAAACTTCTGCCCGCCTTTGACAAGGATCATCTATAACATCCTATTTCTGATTAGTGCAGGAAGCGAAAATTCTGAGCGCTTTTGGCTCCTATAATCGTTTGCTGTGGACGAAACAACGCCATGATAGACGCCACTGAACGCCACTTTCGGCTCGCTTTCAACTCCAGTTCCCTTAATTCCCTTCTTAACAAATCCTGCAGGAAGCAGAAACTTTGAGCGCGCTCGTTTCCGACGGCCGTTTTGCGGTGGACGAAGCGAGCGACGCGCGGCCGGAGCTTCTGAACGCGGTGGAGGACGTGGCAGCAGCAGCCGCGGCGCAAGACGAGGAGATGACGTCAGAGACGCTGACGCGGATCCGGGCGGCGGTGGACGAGGCGCGGTTTGCGATTGAGGACTCGGAAAGGTGAGGTTCGGTGGCCGGCCGTCGTACGTGTTCCGACGAAGATGCGTGGAGTGTTTCGATCACTAAAAGAGAGCTCACTGGTACTTCTACGTGGAACAATCTGAGAGGATCATTGTATCGCTGTTCCGCGACGTTCGCTTTTATAGGTTACGCGGCCCTTACGGAGAGATCCTTCAGCGTCCCGTAAGCAGCGTCGAAAGCTCCGGAAGCATACCTTTTCCGCCCGTGCGAGCTGACGTCAGCGTTGCGTCATCTGCAGGGTGGGGCGGCTCATTCACGAGTGGTGGGAGCAGCCGGCATTCGCAGCCGTTCCTTGGGTCGCAGTGGACGGCGAGAACGCTGCCACGTGGCTCTCTCGGGTGCGGCAACTGCAGAGCGCATTGCGAACAAAAGCCGAATTGAATCAACTGGAACGGGCTCTCAGCCTAGATCAGAAATGACTGACTGTCCTCCACTTTGAAAAGAGGGCGCTCAAGGGCGAATCGTTGTTAGACTTCAATCTTGGTTTCTTGTTTGAGCGCCGTTGGGGTGCGATAACGAGTTTTCTAAGTTCGATCCTTAGCCTCTTGTATCGGTACTGGCCTTTGTCATACATTACGGCAAGCGACTCTGTTGGCTGGGATGCACGATCATGCAACATAGTTGCACGCGATTTTGGAACGGGAAGACCACTCCGACAAAGTATCTCTTCTACTGGATCCGTATACACGAGTCAATCCTCGTCCTCTTGATCGGAGCGCACAATGTAGCTAGATTGTGCTTTAGGCCACGATCGAACCGCTGCTGTAGTGCTAGATGCACGATGTTAAGCGTACATGTGGCATTTGCAGGCCTCGCAACATTTGATTCCGCATGCTTATGCACACGTGCATGCCATCACATGTTCAAAATATCCCAGAATTGGTATGCTGTTCGCAAACCCCAACGGTCCACTTCCCGATGGCAGCGCAGGCTTAAACGTCAGGATTAAACTTGAAAGTGCACCAAGAAAATGATGGCACAGTAGATCTACCAGTGAGCTACAACTATCAAGAAAAGTTACTATTCGACCTGGCGGCAGCTAGCTAATGTACACTCTTGAGTACTTTGACCTGAAAACTTGTTACCACTGTTAGGTGAACATTCTAAGCACACTTTCTATCGGCTTACTGCAGAACGGGCAGATCTTCTTATGTACGTGAATGTATTCTGCACAGTCGTTGCACAAAGTGTGCCCACACAGGTACGTTGAGTTGCTCTCCCTCTCAAAGCAGATCTTGCAACACAACTCGTCGTCCTCATGCCCCGTATGCACACCTGTGGGCTGCTGGAAAGGCGTAGGCTGTGTAAACACCCCCCGAATCAGGGCCTGGTGAAACTCGCTCTCCGTTTCCAGCAAACCGGACGACCCTTTCCCTAACCACGCCCCTAACCGGCTGCCCTTCGCTGGGTTAACCTCCTTAACCACGTTGCAGGGAGACTCTCGCAGGACACCTGCCTCCGCCGAGGAGAGTCTCGCTGATGTCAGCGGAGGGGCCCACAGCGTGTAGCTGAACGGAGATGACGTCACCACCTCCGGCGAGGGGCTCTGGGCCTCGGCCTTCCGCCCAATGACCTTCTTCGGGTCAGCGTGCATCGCAGGCCGGTACGCCGAGCGCTTAGCTGGCGGCGTCTGATTGGCCGGGGTCTGCTGACGTGGCATGGGGGATCCCTCGGGGCTGGAAAGGTCGAGCACGGACTTGGGAGAGTAAGGGTTTGGGGTCTTTGGAGGGACTGCGAAGAACGACAGTTCCCTGGTTTGGGGGGTGGAAGATTGCTCGGAAGAGTTCGGATTCGGGCCCCTGGCAGGGGTGAGAATTGGCTCAGGGGGTTTGACTTTTGTGATCTTGGGAGTGGGCGGCCGAGGACCAGTAACCAGGGTTTGGGGGGCGGTTCTAGTAACCGATGGGGGGTTTGGGAACAGGTTCCGTGACAGGGGGGGCGCCCTCTCAGTGAGGTTTACTGGGCCGTTTTTAGGGGGCGCTGCAAGGGCCTTTTGCACCTGGGGGGAGAGCACCACCTTGTTCTGGGGGGGCGCGCAGGTTGCCTGGACAGGGCCCTGCGTTTGTGGGCTTGCCGTGACAGGCGGGGAGAGGCCCTGTCCTGACGTTTGTAGTCGCAGGCCACTCAGGAGCTCGGTCATGAGGCCGTCGAACTCGGCAGTGACCTCACGCGAGGGGGGCACCCTCAACTTGCCCGCCTCGCTGATCGCCTTTGTGAGACCCCCTTCTCTGCTCTTTCCATTGCTCCCCATTTGCTCTTTCTCCAGAGGGCCTGTCGGGGCCTGGAGTCTTTCCTGAGTGTTGATCCTGCTCCCCTCCCCTCGGTTGAGGTCCGGTGCCTCTGCACCAGCATTTTTCTCCATGATGCCAGTCGACTCTCCCAATCTGCCGGCTTCTTTCTCCTCTCGCTTGTTCTCTGCTCTGTCCTTATGCCCGTCCTTCCTCTTCCCCTCCTTCCTGGTCTTTACAGGCCCTTCTAATGGCTGGCCCCTCTTTGGGGGACTCTTCAAAGCAGGGAACTCGTCCCCCTGTGGCAGAGGAGGCTCGCTCCCTTTCTGGGGGGACCGAGACTTCCTAGCTCGGACCACCGTCACAAAACCATCGGCGTCCTTGCTGACCTCAGTGTTGCACAAAGCCGCAAGCTGTGACGAAGATGAGAGAGTCCTGGTTACATTAGGTTATTAGGTTATCATTATGCTGCAGGGATTCGCATGGAAGCAACGCAACAGCCTATCAAAAGAAGTGAGTCACAGAATGGGCATCCTGCCATTCTCTATAGTCCATGAGCAGTAAAGAGAAATTTCTGACTAGCCATTCTAAGAAGAGTGTTTTGGTTTGCTCCAATACCTTTGTCGTCAGGCACTCCCATACATGCTTTATCCATTGTGGCTGAAAAGAAAAGCGAGGGAGACACAGAACCTCTGCATGTCCAATATCTTTTCACTCAAGCAGACTTAATTGTCACTTCCATTTTATGGATCAAATCAACCAAGTAGACAGCAAGATTGACAGCAAGATGCTTAGTGAAGCCGAGAAACCCTCACCATGGAGACGTGATTAGGCGGGGACGGCGTCGGCGATTTGGACGGAGCTGCCTTCGCTGCTGCTAACCAGCTGGAGATCTTCTTGGGTTCAGCCATCCCTGGGACATCAGCAATCTGAAGTTAGCTTTCATGGTATCCAACTTCTCCTTGTGATTACTCAGAGATGACAATTTTATTCGCTTGGTATCTCAAAATTGCGTTACAGGCTTAGTTTGATGCAGAGTTTTCTAGCCACTTTGCCAAGCTGGAGTGCAGAAATCTCTATGCGCTGTTGAAATGCAAAGCACTGGAACATCATTGAAGATGTCTAAGAATCCAACCTCTGCACTTCACACAAGCGGACGAAAGATATCTCCAAGATACTCAGTATGTTTTTCAAAGCACCAGATTGGATGCAGCGGAAACTTGCATGAAACTAGACATCAAACTACTCACGAGAGCACAAGAGAAGCAAAGTAAAGAACACTTGATAAATAAACTAGTATCCTTGTAGCTTTCAGGACGAATTAAGTTTAAAGCGGAATCACATCCCACCTGGTACATGCGCTGTGGCCGCTGTATGGGTTCTCCAGGTCCTGCTTCAAATCCCGTTGGGATGATTGCCTGATCTATTAGCGAACTACAGTTCTTTTCCTGAAATGAGAAGTATGCCGCAAATGAACTAAGCTGGATTGCTGACGTGCCGCTGGGAACGGTCGGACAATATAGTATTAGTTGACTTTGAAGATCCGATATTGACAGCACCCGTGCAGAAATCCTTACAACTCAAAAGGGAACGCAAGGACTTCTTGGAAGAGTGATTGGGCGTGCATCAACTTTGCGGATGCTCTTCTGCAAAGCGGTGACCGGATTGGAGTCCTGCGACAGAGCCTGGTGATCAGTGTGGGTTTGAATTTGACAATGAAGCCTTGAAGTTGAAGGCTTCCAACTTCAACTTCTTGAATTCTTCCTTGAAGAAACACAATTTGGCGCCAACTTGAATGGCAAGGTTTGAAACCTTCGCGCCAAAATATAGTTGCCACTTCGAATGCCACGTCAGACGGAGTTTCAATGATTGTAGGAGCCGGATTTGGAGGCTGCGGCTAAAAGAAACAAGGAAGTGCGCGCGTCGTTGAACCTGTTTGGCTGGTAAATCCGGTTGCCATATAAGTTATTGGCCGCTGGAGGTACAAACTTGAAAGATTGAAAGCCAGTGAAGAGTGCAAACTGTGCACGTTCAGGGCCTGCACGCAGTGCGTCCCGGCAGACAACCCAAGCCTCAAGGTCACCCTGGCCTGGGCCTGGGCCTTAAAGCACTGTTGACAACAGTCAGAACTGCGGCTGCACGGCTCGTTGAGTTGACCAAGAAACTGACCACGACGACCAAAGAGACTTACCTAGCTAGCTTGCTGCATGCTAGTTCAGACAATTCAAACAAGAGTACGGGGAAGAGCCCAATGCCTTCATGGTCTGATGTCATCACTTTATTGCCAGTGGCCAAGTGGGCGCTGGAAACGTGGGAGCCATCAAGCGACACAAACTGAAAGCTACCCGCACGGTTCTGAGCGCAGAATGTGGTCAGCAATGCCGGTGGGATTCGATTGACAATGTGATGCAAGACAGCTGTGAAGTACTTGCATTGGCTGCATTGCTCATGATGTTGCAGTCCAATCGACGTCCTGCATAATCCTGCATCGTCCTGCATAGCAACAGATTAGGTGGCTCCACACAATACTAAGTCAATAGGCTGATCAATCAGAATGTGCAGCGAAGCCCACAAGATCTGATTAACAGACTCCCAGAGGTGGTTCTTACGCAGCAGAGGTCGGAGCACTGCCGTGCAACCCGCTGGAAAACTATAGCATCCGAAGATCAGAAACACTGGGATTGGAGTCTGCCCGAATTCTGGTAGTGCGCACGGCAATGCTGACACCTTAGCTTGTGTATTTTGCAATGGCAGCACCGGCAACGAGAATGACGAGGAAACCGGACCTCCGGATCGATCCAGAAGCAGACGCCGCTGCAGGTGCAAATGAAGCGATCGCAAGTAGCAGCCCGCGGACGGGGGCAAAGTCCGAAGCCCGTCCGAAAACGCCTCAGGCGGGGCCGACCGTCCGAATCCAGAAGCACAGCATGGCGCTTCTGAGAAAAGCGTTCAACACGTACGACGAGGAGCATTCCGGAAGCGTCCCGGTGTCTGCAGTGAGTTCCATAAACCCTCTGCTTACTGATTTTCTTTCTGGCTGGCGGCTAATTGTATATAAGGTGCACTCATGGGTATTAAGATCGGTATGTCGAAAGGAGTCATTGATTAAAGTGTCAAGTTGGATACGAATGCTGTAACGCTGGTTAAGCCTGTCAAGTTGGTTAAGAAACCCTGTCAAATGGCTGGTCTGATGTGGAGGAGCACTCTTGAACGCATTCCAGTATCGTTGTTAAGCGTCCAGACTCCAGTTGGGTTAAGAAACCCATGCAAGTGTGCAAAATGAACGACAAACACGCCTGCATTAGTTCTCTGCTCAGGCTCGTATAATCCCAAAATGAGTGGTTGGGGATAGATGGAGGTCTGCTGAGAGGATCCAAAAGCCAGGACTAGTCGTTTTGGTGGATATAGTGTGTTGTTGATGAGATTCTACCATGAGTTGGTTAAAACGGGGTGGTGCGTGATAGACGTGCCCCAGACACTTGAATGAAACTCCTACATCTTAGTCGACAAAACCCTCCCCTTGTGAAAAGCGGATCCAGGGTGACCCAAATCACAAACTTTGCCACATTCCAATGGGCTAACACATCACAGGCAGCCCAGGAAGCTGCTTTTTCAAGACGAAAGAGTCGAGGGCAGCCCCTTCCCAGATGATTTGCTAATAGGGAGCTTGTGAAAGAAGGTTATTAGTGCCGAACGAGACTCTTCCCAGCTGTCAGGACCTGTTACTGCCCCGAAACATGAGGGGAACTTTGCGAACGTTGCCGCGGCCGCGTTCGGTCACTTGATAGGTTGCAAAGTCAACGCTGTCGGAAGTTGTCGGATGCAGACAAGACGAAGAAGTCACGACATCAAGAAGTCTTCGCTTGTTGCAGGTTGGTGTTGCGTTGTGGTCGTGCGGGATTGCGGTCCCTGCCGGAGAGGAAATCAATGACGTGCTCAGTAGCATCGTGCCAGACTTTGAGTGAGTCTGCCTCTAGTACAGTCTTTTATGTTTTATCTTCAAGCTACCAAGGCAATCCATGGAATAAGCATAAGTTTTTCATTTAAAATGTGTTTGGTCTTATTTCTTCAAGGCGTTGGGGCAATCACCTTGGAGGTACTGTGCCACAAGAGAATCCGATTAACAGGTAACCTAGCCCTGATTGCAAGTCACAAAAAGAGCTTATTTGTAATGGCTCTTCATGAGAAACATAACGTCCGCTGCTTTCTTGTGATCCGGGCGTGAACAAGAGCTAGTGTCAACATTGCAGTCCGCAACGACGAGGCAAAGCGCCGTGCTCGGAGCTCGAGGTCTCGCAAGAAGCGGTGGTAAAGCAGGCGTAGATCTTGGTCATCGCTTCTGGTACTGAGGACGCGTACTTTGTTCTTTCAAGGTCGGACAAAGCGCAATACGGCTGGGTGTGATTTTGATGTCCTCCAGTTTCACCCTCTTACCAAGTCAGCTTTTGACCTTGCTCGGGACCCAAGAGAAGACAGCCTCAAAAGCCACGTCGTGGGGCTCGATGAGGGCTGGATGAGGCCTTGAAAACCCCCCACATTGCTCGACGTCGAAGCTACCGACGTTATATTTCTCACAACACGATAACATAACGCTAGCCTGACAATGAGAATGGCTACAAGAAGAACAACAACGGATCACAATAGCAACGGAGGCAGAGCGTCGGCTAAGCCGACAGAAAGTCGTGCTGTGAGTGCCACAGCACTTTTAATCCCCGGTGGATGTGTATGTTCAGAATCTCAAGCAAATAAAATGCGGTTCCTCAAAATGTAGAAGCGATCCTCCGTGCAGCCCCGAGAGCAAGGTCACCTTCGATCACTTTCTCCAAGTCGCCCGCGATCTCGAGCACCGCAACTACGCCTCGTCCCCGCGCCCGGTCGATTACTCGCGAGGGGGATCCCCCGAGCCCTCGCCTCGCAGCCCAAAGTCTCCGGGGAAAGCGCCCGGTAGACGGAAGAGCCTGAGCCGGAGGGCGGTCATGAGTGACACGTGGGAGGCCGGGGCGGACGACGAGCAGGTTAGCTATTTGTTCCCAGGGTTAAGATGTCCTAGTCACGTTCTTAACGTCATAGTCGAGGATGAAGGAGTTTGTGTATCAAGCTCTAGAGCTACCCTGCATCGATTGGTACTCGTCTTTGTACCGAGCAGTCGTGCCTTTCTCTATTCAGGGCGACTACGACCTCTTCTTTCAACGTTCGCAGGGACCGTGATCCGAGCAACTCGAAAGTTCAAGCATTCGTGAAGTTTGACAGCTGCTTACATCGAAGTTTGCGCTCCATGAATAAGCCCAAACTCTTCCGCGAGACTGACGGACCCGGAAGACAGTCTGCTCTTCTCGTCAGAAGCGCGAAGACTCTTCCGAAATCGAATCTTGTTTGCCTGTGCAGCTGCTGGCGACGCTTCGACAGCTGGAGGAGCAGCGCAAGATGTACGAGGACGAGGGTAACTACCAGGAGGCGAGCCGAATCGCCAAGCGCATTCAGGAGCTCAAAGTGAGCCGGCAGAACCTTTCAAGCGGGACACTGAACGAGGCACCGACCCAAAACAATGCTGAACCTCCATGAAGCCGTACTAATCTGTAATCGAAGGAGCATTAGATACTAGAAAAGTATATAATTTGACACGCTGATCCGTAGAGGCTTCCTGTGTCACGTCTCGAACACCGTTTCCTTCATTCACCGGCTCGGAATCAGGTTGGGCTAAAACAAAAACTTGCCAAAGTCTGTTGAGTCTAGCTCGAGATCCAAACCAAAGGCGGCCAAAGACCAGTGAAGCTTACAAACTTCCGTCTTAGTATCAGACCCGTACGTCAAAGCGAGGGCGCTGAATTACGCCGTGTATGTATCTTCTACAGGTCGGCGAAGAGTCGAAACGGATGGCAGCAATGGACGAGCGCCAGACGCAGGAGCTGGGCGACGCTGAGGCGGCCTACCGGGCGGAAGTCGAGGAGACCAACGCGGTAAGACTGCCCGGGACGAGCTGTCAGTTGACCATTTTTCTGACATTCCAAGATTTTGGAAAAGAAAAGAACTTTCTTTAAAATTTGAGCATCGGCTTCTGAGCGCGACTCACTGATTGGAAGTAGAGGAGACCAACGCGGTAACTGCCCGGGACGAGCAGTCGGTTGACAATTTCTCTAACTTTCCAAGATTCGGGGGGGAAAAGATCTTCCTTCGAGGGTGACGGCCACAAGTCAAAGTTGAGCGTCGGCTTCTAAGCGCGACCGACTGAGCGAAAGTGGAGAAAACTACCGAGGTGGTGGATGAGCTTGAAAGACTTTGGGGTTTGAATAGTTTCTCCGAGGAGACGTCTTCCTTTGAAAGATGTAGCATCGGGTTGCGAGCGCGACCTGGCCTTTCTGACCAAGGTCTCCATATCGTGGCCGCTTCTACCTTCTTCGACATAATCCCTTGACCACCGTATTCTGAATTGCCGGTTCATCTTCGGAAACGCCGTTCAGTGTACTATCTCCCGTGGACTGAGACTCTTTTATGGCGCGCGCGTGCGGTTGGGTAGCGCGTTTTCAAAGAGTCTCGTTGAAAGCAGACCAACCGCCTGCTGCTGTCCTTTTTGAATGGCTGCGGGCCTTGTTATAAGAACAAAACCTTCAGCTTCTCTCGCTGCCTTATCCGCAGTTAGCTCTTTTATCCCGAGCGTGGACACGCGGAAACGGCGATTTCAGCGCAGCGAAAATAGAACGGGTCGCTCGCTTCTTCATATTCCCCGTTCAACGCCTTTGACCCGTTCGGGAGCCTAATTTGAACCCTTCCGACCCGATTCGAACCCGTTTCAACCACAAAGTAACTCTTTTCATCTCGCTTGCAGGACGCGCAGACAGCGCACTTTCAAAAGTCGACGATTGATTCATTTGTGAGCCAACAAGCGGGTACTAGACTCTTTTCGTCCCCACTCAAACCACTCTTCTCATCTGTCCCAATCGCCCTTGATCTTTCTTCCAACCCGCAGTTGTGAGACGACAAGATGGCGCAGTTCCAGGACTCGGTAATGGAGCAGGCAGCGCGCCTTCCGTAAGCCACTGTTATTGGCTTCAACCCGACTCCAAACCCCGTTTTTGGGTCTTCAAACCCATCTCAACCGCGCTTTACCCTTCTTCCAAACCGCAGTTGTGGGACGACAAGATGGCGCAGTTCCAGGAGTCGGTGACGGAGCAGGCACCTCGCCTTTCCTAAGCCGATAATTAAGATTCAGGCCCACTTCAAACCCCGTTTTACACTGGTTCTAACCCAGGCTAACCGCCGTTAATCCTTCTTCCAAACCGCAGTTGTGGGACGACAAGATGGCGCAGTTCCAGGAGTCGGTGATGGAGCAGGTGGCGCGACTGCGCGACGCGCACGCAGACGCGACGCGGCTCCTGCGCGCCAACTTCGAAACCCGGCGGCCGACCAAACCCCAGCCGAGCGTCAAGCTGCTGGACCAACGGAAAATCCAGGTGAGGGGGGGTGGAAAACTTCGAAACCTGCAGGGACGGGGGTGAGAAACGTAGAGAAAGGAACAGAAAGGAGTCTTGAAAGGGGGGTGATTCACCCCGGGTGAAGAGCTTCTAGGAAAACCTTACGCGATCGCAATTGCAGCTTTAGGTTTAGGAGGTCTCTTAAGGAGCTGGCGATCCAACTTGTTTTCAGTTCCATCTTGATTTGGGGGATATTCTTTTCGGTTTTCTTACCACTGCTCAACACGAAGCCAGGATGAAACATAATCCTTTGCAGTTTCACAGCCTTAGAGACCGTTGAAAGACTAACTTTGAAGTGTCGTGCCAGGTTGGAATGCTGTCAAACTCAAATTGTGGACGGCAATTTCATGACTTCATTCATGTAGTGTCAGTGTTACATTTTGACATTATAATTTTCGCTCCCATTCATACGGTCACCTTGAAGTCCGTTCCATGCCTCTGATCGTTCCGCTCGTTCCGCTTTCCGCTCGCAGCACACCTTGGGCAAGCAGGGGAAGTACGACGAAGCGGAACAGGTCAAGTCGCTGGCGGACAAGCTGGAGCGGCAAGAGTTGCAGGTGAGAGTCTGGTCGCCGGAATCCGCTCCTTCCGCAACGGAATCCGCTCTGTTTCTTGATAGTTATCATCTCAACCGTAAGAAGACGTCCCGGGCTCCCTGACTCGCCCGGGTTCCTTTTCCCCCAGGCAGTAGCTGCAAAAAGGCTGCCGGGGTGAGCAGACGGGGGGCGCCTACCGTGTACTTGTACTCGTATGAAAGTTCCCCGGTATCTAGCCCCAAATCGAGTCTGCTGACCCACGTCTCAACCGTGTACTCTGTTTCACATCAAATGCCCCGGTAAATAGACCCCGGTCGAGTCTGCTAACCCAGACGTCTCGACCGGAGTGAAATATCTTAGCCGGCGACGCGGCGAGCCATTGCTGGGTCTGAGCCTTAAAGCATCGTCGAAGTCTTTGAAACGAAGGATTTTGCTACACTCTTGCCAAACCGTGCATAGTTTCCGTTCATCCGCTTTAGATTGATAGAAGAACTTGCCTTTGAACGGTACGGAGCTTCAAAGCCGCTTCCCGAGAGGCGGAGACGGCGTGGCAGTCGGAGCTGTGGAATCCAAGCGTGCAACTAATCACCTATCGGCAATCGATTGCACCGATATTGCTTGACTCATATTTTGCCCGGTTGTTTTCTCCAAGCGGCGGAAAGCTGCTTAGCGAACAGAAATAGGCATGCGAGAAAAGTTACCAGCCTACCTCTCCTGCGCTTGAGATTACTCGGTCGTCGTTCTCCAGTTGGTGCTTGCCCCTCACACTTCCGGATGTTCGTTTTTCAGGCGGCGGAAGCGGCGTGGCAGTCGAAACTAGGCATGCGAGAACAGACGCTCGACGCGCACAATACCCTTCTTGGCCTTGGGTTTGCTTGGTTGTCGTTCCACCCCGGTTATCACTTAACCCTTCCAGATTCGCCCTTAAGCTTCGTCCAGGCCGCTGAAGCGGCATGGCACTCGGAACTAGGCGTGCGAGAACATACATAAGCGCCCACCAGGACTTCATCTTCATCTTGCTCGTTTTTACCCGGCCAAACCCGTAACCTCTGTTTCCGCCTATCTATTCTCCAGGCGGCGGAAGCGGCGTGGCAGTCGGAACTAGGCATGCGAGAACAGACGCTGAGCGCGCACCAGCAGGTCGAGATGGAGGCGCTCATGCAGCGCGCGACGCGCGGCCGCGACGAGCTGCGCAAGGCGCGCACTATTGACCTGGAGCGGCGGGAACAGGTTAGTGGGCGGGTTAAGATCTGGGTCAGATGGGCAGTTTGAGTTAACCTTCGTTCGCTCACCCTTGCAATGTTGAACATTTGGTCGTCTTCGGAAGTTGTTCGAAGCAGCGAAGACCGTTGGAAAGCTTGCACCTATATAGCGCATCCCGCGTCGCTACCCAGATACAAGCTGCGCGCCATCATCTGACGTCTGAATCCGTGTTCCGTCCGCAGCGCTACCGGAACGTCCGAACGGAACTGGAGGCGGTCCATCGGCTAGAAGCGTTGAAGTTCGAGGCGAACCTGGAGAAGAAGATCATCGCGGGGAAACGCGACGAGAAGACAGTCGCTTCCAACCTGGGACTCAAGGCCAGGTGAGAGCTCCATTCTCAATCTCGTCACTTCCTGAAGTAGAAAGACAGAATAATCCGTAGATGGTCGGTTGTCTTTGAGCGACTGCACATACTCTTTTTCGCATCGATGTGGTTTGCGTTCGTAAGGGGCTTGTCCGAGGAACGGTAAGGACAAACTTGATGCTGCGTCTCAAGTCGAAAAGAACGAACTTTTTTAAACGGCCAGACTCAGGATTTCCGTAGCAAGGTAATTAGCCTGCCTTCGCAGTGTCCAAACGTAGATCTTCAAGCGTCCAATTACTGATTCGAACACTTTTCGAGGAGATCTTGTCATTGCTGTGGTCGAAAAGTGGCTGCCATCACTCGCTCCCTGGCGACAAAACAGCAGAGGGCCGCGCTATGCAGTCGCCCTGTGACGTCACGTAGATGCACCCGAACACCTCGTTTTGAAAGGCTGCTTCTGATTCGCTTACTTTCCCGCCGCAGGCGGGCCAGCGTCTCTGCGCGCTCGCGCACAACGAGCCGGACTTCCAAGGTGTCGTACTCTGCATACGTTTGAGTGTGCGCCGCCCAGGGTTTGGTTGAGCAATTCGGACCACTGGGCGCGGCCGGGGAAACGCGCGCCGCGCACTGCAGGGGTTTGGTCGCGCTTTTCACGCCCGTCAGCGGGTGCCGCGAGCGGACTCGGCGAATGGATTACAAAATGCTTCCACTTGATTACCTAGTTAAGAGCTTCATCTTCATGCTTAGAATATTATTACTGGATATGAGATCAGACAGCGTTGTGAACAGTCCAGGGCGTCAAAATGACGCGCGCGGCATAACCATACAGCAGCTTACAGAAGCTCTAATCAAAAGCACCTAAAAAGGGGTTATAGATTTGCAACATACTGGAAGTGCACTTACATGCATGAGTTTAGTGAGCAATCAGCACCTAGGACGATAATCTACTAATTCTTAACAGAAGGAGCAAGCATGTGCAAGTTGATCCAAGATGCTCATGGTGGCGGCTGGGCGGCATACTAAACGTACTTAATGACGTACCATAAACATCTTCACTGCATAAGCAATCTCATATAATCTTATAACGTGCAATGATGAGTTCGACATGAACGCCGCATATCAAGTTGTGTGTCAACCGCTGCACTCAGTTGCATGGGTGATGTTTTCCGGTCTCACTGGATTTATCTATTGTGGGTCGGGCTGGCGTTGTCGTCATCATGGCATCTGAACCTTCGATCAAGCCTATAACTTAGAGTCCTTGAAGTGAAAAAGCACCATACTTTCTTGCACATGTGCATGAGCAATTATAAAAGCACGTAGCCTTGCCTGAGCCTCGGAAATGGTGACTCGATCAGATGTCGGAAATGAAGCCATAGTCATTGAGTCGGCGGCTCGAAGTACGAACGCTCGAAGTATGAATTGAAGCAACTTAGCATGATTTATGTGCGGCTTTGCAAAGACTTCTTTGATCAGACGAGAAGCGCCGCATGGTCACTTTGCGTGCAAAATTAGACACTCTACTTTTGACTATGATCGATCCTAGCGTTCTCCATCGGCTACCTGTTCGTGTCGAGGCTATACAGCTGGTATCCAGTTATAGTGTGACGGAGACAAGCCTTCCTTCTTCAGTGCCGCGGTGTCGTGCGCCTGCTGCATGACACTGTTGTCCTCGGCACCCTGCGGCCAACCGATGTTGACGTGGTTCATGTACGGCGGGTACCGCTGCCGGCCTGCCACTCCCGCCCAATCGAAGTCCACAAACATCACCTTCGAGTCCATCGTGTTGACCATCACATTGTTGTGGCGCATGTCTCCATGGACACCCTTGGCCCCTTCCTCACTCCCATCCTCTGGTTCGACCTCCAAGTCATGCGCTTTTGTCAGCGTTGCGAGCGCCCATTCCCGAGCGCCCTCCTGAAGGTCCGAAGAAACCTCGCACAACGGCACCCACTCCTCGGGGACGAGCAGGTCCATCACGACCATGTACCACCCGCCAGGCAGTTTCCGGGTCTCCGGCAGCAAGTTGGGCGCAAAGCCAGCCGCCGCCCACCGCAGATGCACCTTGAGGCCGTAGCGCTGTGTGAACTTGACGACGACCGGACGTCCATCCAAACGTCCAGTGTAGAGCAGCGGCTTCTTGCGCAACGGGTCGCTTTGATTAGGGTCCGGCACAAATCTGCAGAGAGAGCGAATCGAGCAGTACACATAAACTTCCAAAAGCATCACCGGATACACGTTGTCTTTCGCCGCTAATTGTTCTGGTCGATCCGATGCCAACATGTACACGAGGTCAGACCTCCGCTCATTGCAGCACATTGCAAGCTAGTGATGAGTATGTTTCGATACCCTAAGCATCTCCGCAGAGGATGCTTCAAGGAGGAAGAACACTAGCAGGCCAGACTGAAAGACACGAGTGAATCATAGCATTGGAAACTTTAAATCTGAGGCACTGCCGTAAAAGTGGACTGGACGATCACGGTAGCAACCAGCTGAATTATGGATAAGTCCTTGCGGGACGGAACGCAACCGTCGACCAGAAAGTCCCTGATCAAGGACAATAAGCGCATGCCCTCGAGTAGATGTAAATATGGCGTTCGCCCATGACTCCACCTCTACAACAATTTCGGGGTTTCCGCTTCACCCTTCACCATCGGAGAGTCAGACCAGGCTCGAACCTAACAGCACTCACATCACCGACTCATCCTAGTATCCGATGACAAATAAGCACGAGCTACCATGAGCAAGCGAAAGTTACCTGTCAGCCAGCTCGCCATCCCAGAACGGGTACGGTGCCGACATCTTGAGACCACGCAACCGGTCGGAGATTCTCGGCTTCTGATACAAGCCCGTGTAAAACTCCTGCAAAGAGACAGCACCGGAAACTTTCAAGGGTTTTGCCGACCGGTCCGTTTGCACGCTCTACTAAGACGGGGGCTTCGACTCGCTCGGAGCTGAAGTAAGCCGAACGACGGTACAGCTTTTGAATGTTCGACGAGTCTCGCGCAACCTCCACAGAAAGACACGAAGGAGTCAACAGCCACCAATTTGAGGAAGATACCAGCACAGCCAGCAACTCCAGAGCGGGAGCCCACAGTATTGAGCAATACAGGGCTGTTCCATCGTTTAGAGACTGGATGTCACCATCGACGTGACCGTCTCATTCTTTCTGTAGGAGCCGTCTTATACAGAGGTTCAGTCATGTGGCGACTCGTCAGTACTGTCTACCCTCAGCTTGGTCGCCAGAAAGAGAGCGATCCTCAAACTCAAACAATAGCTTTCGCCGGCGCTGAGGGGCAAACGTCACGTTCATAATACCTACCTCCAGTCGAACGATACCCTTCCGGAGGGCGCACATGACACGCAGCAGGTGCAGTTTCTGCTGTTCGTACGGAAGCACGGCCAGCAGTAGATGTTCGGTCAGCGGCATGGAATGCACCTTCGCCTCGTCGCCGTTGCCCAACAGCATCATCGCGCTCACCCTGCGTTTAAAGGAAACATGGAAAAGGCCCTCAACACAAGCATATCATACCATTGAACGGCGGCTCAGAGGCAGACTGAAAACACAAGAGAGGTAAGATATTGGAGGATCAGTAAGCTGGTTCAGAACATAAAGCTGAAGCTGAAGCTCAATAAGCTGATTGACAAACACAACTTTCCAGACTTCCTTGAGTTCTGCCCGACCCTTTAGACCCGTTGACTCACCAAGAGTGTAATATCAGCCTATTAATTTAGTCCACAGGGAGAGACCCACGACTGTCAAAGTCGACACTGAATGCAGGCGCTCTTACACACGCTGCAATTTAGCATACTTGCAAAATCCAGGCCCAAGGGAGCAGTGCCACAAAATTGGACTCCCCTGTGCATCACGTTGATAAAGGTTTACGGGGCAACTTGGGGCACACACTGTCGAATGTAAGGATTCCAAGATTAACAATCTCTCAAGCAGTACAAGCCGGTTGCCCACGAAAGGGCGCGCTTTCCTAGTACTACAGTCGAGTTTGCAATCTCCCTAGACCGGGCCAACTGTCTGCAGGGCCCTTCCTGGCACATGCTGAACAATAGAGACAGCATGCAACATCCTCCTTAAGCGAGTTGTAGGGCCCCATACAACGACAGCGCGCAATCTCAAAAGTCTCAAAAGAGAGTTGAGTAGAAACCTGAGATAGGGCCCCAACACTTCAATGAGGAAGCTGGGGCATGAGCTGCCGTTGAACGCCGTGGACGACATGAACTCCCTCCAGAATAGTTGATGGTACGCTTGCCCCTGAAACCACTTGTCCGTATTTGTAGCACCAATCTCATTCTCGTACTCGTAGATGGCGTAGCACGCTGGCGTCTTCTTATCTCGTACGCCAATGAAGCCAACTGTTTCAGCCTGCGAGTCTGCAAGGCAATGACACAACAAACGCTGAGCAGAAGACGAGTCACACATTCTTGGAGCAGGAAACTAGCAGATCTGAGCAAGGAAGTACCTTAATTGAAGCACATGGTGACAGATACCAACTTCATTGCTGAAAGATCAAGCCGAAGTACAATGACTTAATTCTAGCAGCCTACGAGCATTAGAACAATACTTGCAGTGCGTGCTGTTTGTCTAGCACTGATATCAGAAAGTCTGCTCGACATTCGTTGCGTATCACTAAGCACAGGTTTGTAGACCTCAGTAACCCACCCTTGCTTGATCTTGAGCTTCTTCAAAGGAAAGAACTTGTTCTCAATCTTGTAAGAAGACTGACGGAGCAGAATATTGGCCATATTTAAGGACTGCAAAGTGTTGTTCGAAATATGAAGGAGGAACATCTCACCTGAAAACTCTTTGTAAGGCCCGCAGTCCCTGCTCAGATACAGAGAGAACATTTTTTCGAGCATTGCCTGGCGGCTGCCCTCGTCAGAATACGTCAGCAGGCTCCGCGTGCACAGATCCTTCACAAATGCACAATCGCGCTTGTTCCACTCGTCTATGCTGAGATCGTCAACAAAATGACCGAACACTTGATGTCCTAAGGAGGCCGGCATGCCTGCAGCATAAGCGGGCCTATAGCAGAGGAAGATAGGCTCCACGACATGCCCATTGACTGTCCGACGGCTGTTGTTGGCTCTATTCAGACCCTGCTCTCTTGGCCATGTTCGGTGGTCGTATGATGAGGGACTGTGCTGTGCATAACGGAAAGCCGGCGCCTCGATCGCATCACGACGGTCTGCAAAGAATTGAATGCTTCAGTCAGCTTCACCAACTTCTAAAACTCGGGCCTCAGCTTCACTTTCTTGCTGCTGGAAACTAAAGACTGTGGTGGCCAGCTTACATACGCCGAAACTTCGAGTTCCAAAGCCAGGCTCGAACCCCCTGCCACATACTTGCTGACCACAAAATCTTTTGACGCATGGAAACAGAAGCTGGGAATGGCTACACACAAATATGCCCCTTGGGTTCAGTAAGCTCAGGCCTGTGATTGAGACTTCTTTGCTGTAAACGCCTATCTCAAAAACTGCTACATCAACACCGTCTTGGGTCTTTTTATGTTACCCCTGTAACATCAAAGCCCTGGACCTTGTCTTGGGATTGCTCTAACAACGGAAGCATTTCCATAGGTCGAGCTATAGTTTTCGCAGCAATAAACGTGAGCGGTGAGCAGCCTACCTTCGCCTTTAACAGCGATCACGTACAGCACTTTGTCGGAATTCAATTCTGACTCTGTCACATCGGACAATTTGTCCAGGTGGCCCGTTTTCTCGCGATCATGCACGTAGAGCTCGTCCTTTGCTGAGATCTGTCCTTCTGCTGATCTTATAGCACTGCCAATCTTCTCTGCGGTCACAGGCCTGGATACCTTTGTCAACAGGTATGGCCCTGGTGTCTCTGTCCGTGAAGTCGTTTGTGCATACCGCACTTGCTGCAGACGAGTAGACCCAAAAGTCAAAAAACAGAATAGGAAAAGTAGGCCCAATGGACGGCTGCAGGAAGAGAGGCTCAGCTTGGCAAGATGATTCTCCTGCACACTTGCTTCAAAGAACAATTGAATTGAGACCCAAACCATAGACATGCAGAATTTTGGCATCGTCAAAACTGTCATTGCGCAGCCCTAAAATCACTCAGAGTCAAAGTAGCAACAGAAAAGATGTTGAAGGAGTTGCTGCACTCCCTTTTTTTCGCCCTCCATAACACCTTCAGAGAGATGGGTTTGCACCGTCTGGCCACTGTCCAGGTGCACTCGCGAATGCAGACGCCCTAGCTACTTTCCCAGTTGTGCCCAAGCTGGCAACTAGACAGACAACATCGATCCGAAGTTGGCAGTACGTTCGGGGTCGCATTCTGCGCTGTGGTGTATTGTTAGTCCGACTTGGGAGGACTTGGGATCCGTAGTCGGACTAACAAGGAACGTGGTGACAGTAAGTCGGACTAACGACGCACCACAAGCCGGCAATGAGCGCTTGAAGTCGGACTAACGACTTGCGTGCACCGTCGGATCTGGTGATCTGGCAGTAAATCCTGCGGCTCCGGAATTCGCCAGGTCCCGAAGATTCCAGGGGCCATGGACTGTGCTACCTTAGCACAATCAGTCAGGGGGGTCCCGACTCCTCAGTCTCCAACCGGAACTTTTCAAATACCGTATCATCAAACTTCCCGTTTCACTTCTTGACATGTCAGCAAGTTTTTGTTTGAATTTCACATCTTGAAAGTCAGCAGAGGCTCCAGGGACTGAAGGCAACATTTAGCCAGTCAGCATGTCTTAATGTCTTTTTTGGCCGCCTTGGTGCAGTTGGTGCAAATGCTGCTCTGAAAGGGCGGGCCCAGGGGCAAGCTGAAGCTTGAATCCATTTTGATCCTGCCTCTATGATACCCGTAATCCATTTAGAGAGGCTCGCCGGGGATAAGCAGGGAGCGCCGGTTGTCGTGAACCCAGCAAGGTGAGCTTTTGGCATGCGCACCCAATTAGTGTACCTCAGTTTTTCCTACCACAATTAAAATTTGCCCACGAGCCGACTTACTTCAAACTCTTTGCAGCCTGCAATTAAGCGGCCCCTAGCAAGGTCATAGGTCCGTGACAAACCGGCTTTTAACTTACTCAATTCCGGCCTGCAGTGGCTTCATTACCTCGAACAAGCTGCTGATGTTATGGTACTGTGAAGATGAGCCTTTAAGGTCCGATCTCGCAGGGTTCGCGGGCATGAGCTCTTAAAATATTAGGATACAGAGGTAGAGAATCTACAGAGTGGCTTCCATGCATGGATTCTCAGCCATGGTAACTTACATTCCGGGCCATGATAAGCGTTGAACACAGTGCCTATTGACAAGTGCTAGAGGCTAGCCTGAGCTGCGTAAATGATATAGTTCTCAATCTGCATGCTTCATGCAGTTCCGGTCGGGCATAAAAAGAAGCATTGTACAGCGTTTACAGGGCAACGCTCAACAGCATTGAAAGCGAAGAACTGAAGAGTGCGTACGCGAGCGAACAATCACACGTTCTTGAAGTTCCTCAAGTGCATGTACTAGGTTTTGCTCCATCCGCAGATGCAACAATCTCCTAGTATTTGTCAAAGAGGACCCGCCCAAATGAGACCTGCCAACTATAACTAAACGAACACCTCAACATTATGTTTAATAGACTAGCTACTGGTAAGTGTGCAACTGTTTCTGACGTGGAAAGACAACACCTAAACGAATCAACTCAAACTCAACTGTTTGCAACCCCAAGGGTTAGTGGCAACCCTTGCTCGCATCCACATACATCGGGATGCGGACACTTGGTCAGCATTTGGCGGGCGATCCATTTACAGCCCGACCGTCACTTCCTGGAAGCCCACCACACAAATCGTCAACTCAACGTTTTCATATTCTAGCTAGCCTGGGGAGGAACAAATGCTGCAGAATTGAAGAACTCAATCGCGGATTTCACCCGACTGGTGACGGTCAAAAGCCTTTTCGGTGCTTCAGCGCCTTGTTCCTCTTTCGAAGACTCCGCCTCACCCGCAGCGCCAGTGACAGGCTCCTCTCCCTTCCCCTCCTCTGCGACAATCTCTTCGACCGCGGAACCGGTCGCCACAATCTCCGCGCCGGATATCTTTTCCTCCTGCTGAGCCCCCGCTTCGCTGACCTCATGGCCAATTTCCGACTCCTTTCCCCGTCCGTTGGGCAATGCACCCGGCCCCTCAACCCCGGCCGGTGTAACCGGTTCAACCGGCTGCTCCGCCCGAATCTTTTGAGCCCCATCCTCCGCTTGCGCCGCTTCAACCGACCCGTCGGGAGCCAGGTCGAGTATGATGTCGTCATGGCGGCCGTTCATCGAGATGGTGGACGACGCGCCGCTCGAGGGCGGGCCACGTGCCTCGAAGGTGCCACGTGGCACGCCCTCGGGGGTGCCACGTGGTGTGGACGACAGGGGCACCTCCGCCCGGGGCTGGACCAGTTCCACTCGGGGGGAGATCTCCTCCAGCTTCACCCAGTCCAGGATCTGCCCCCGCAACTTGTGGTTGCGCAGCGTGGTTGTGGTGTGAACAGCCACCCCGGAGGCCGGGCACACCCGGTGCCCGCGCGCGAACCACCGCTCGATGTAAACGCGCTCGTAGTTGTGCTCGGTCTCGATGAGCAGCACTGGGTCGCGCATCAGCGCGCCTGAGAGGGGGCAGATGAACTCTGCGGGGGGTTCCCGCGACAGGTTCTCGGATCCGGGGGGGGGTCCCGAGCGCGCTTTCTCGAGCGCGGCGTTAATCTCGTCCATGAAGCTGACAATCTCCTTCTTGACCTCCTTCGTGTCTTTCCTGAGCACCCGCGGGCCGGTCGGCAGCTCGCAGAACGACGTCCGTTTGCCGTCACCTTCGAGCAACTCCTCCGGCTTCATCAACTCCCCGATCTTCACCGCTTTCAGCGCCGTGTACACTTTCTCCATTACGCTCGCCTCCTCCCGCTGCTTATCCTTCAGCAGCGCCTCGGGATTTGTCCGCGACGCCGGCCCGGGGGGGATGCTCGCAGTGCGCAGCAGCCCCGCCGGCCACCCGGTGATCCCCGCCCCTTTGGCGCCGATCGCCACCGGGCCGTTCTGCCCGATCGCGATCACGCCGGGCGCCGCAACCAGCTGCTTCTCCGCAGCCTGCCCCGCAACCTCCTGCTGCGCTTTCAGCGCCGCCGCGATGTCGTCCTCCAGAGTCGTCGGCTCGTTCGACCGAGTCCGCTTCAGCCGCGCCGCTTTCGGCAGGTCGAGCGGAATGATACTCGGCCGCTGCGCACCCCCGGAAGACATCCGCCGAGTCGGCGCGTCGTTACCGGCCGCGACTAGGGCTGCGGAAACCTTTCGTACTAGGGGGGTCTGAACCCCGATAGATCCCTCCGGGATCGAGTCCATACCGCCCCGGGGGGGTGAGTAAGTCCACGGCTGCTCCCCCGTCTCCGATCCAATCGTCGCCGATTCCGCCACCGCAAGCGCCGTCGTGATCTCGACAACCGCCACCGCCGCCTCTTCCTTCACCGTCTGCGGGAGATACCCCAAATCTGAGCCGAGCAGCTCTTCCTGTACCTCTCTATACTGCTTCTTGCCGTCCCGGAACTCACGCGCCAGTTTCCGCGCTTCTTCCACGTCCTTCAGCAGCTGCTGCTCGGTGTCTTCCGCGGGACGGGCCCTGTTCGCTCGCGTTTCGGCGTCCTCGTCGCTGCCGCCCCAGGGCCCGACGCCAACATCCCCGAAAACGGGGCCCTTCGGCTCCGCCGCGCGTTCCTTCTTGAGCCGCTCCGACTTCCCGAGCAGGAACTCGCGCTCCCGCTCGCCCAACGTCTGGGTCTCGATGATTTGCTGAATGACCCGGTCCATGTCCCCGGTGTTGTCCAGCGCCGCGAGCACCCGGTCGACCTCGTCGTGGAAATTGACCGCTTCAGCAGGGGCCAAAATCGCGTGCCCCTCCCCCAGCGACTGCCTCCCCCCCCTTTTCTCACGCTGGTACATCTCCTCCGACTCCCGCCGTCCCCTCTCCCGATAGTACTCCTCCGAGTCGCGCCGCTCCCCGCGAGCGTAATCCCTCGAGTCCCGCCCCTTCTGCCGGTAGTAGTCATCCGAGCTCCGCCTTCCCGAGCCTTTCTCCCGGTTCATCTCCCCAAGCTCCGCCCGCGCCCGCCGCCGCAGCTCGTCGATCCGCGCCTCCTCCTCTAAAACGGACTCGGTCCACAGTGACCGTGGGCGGTAGTCCCGTCGACTATCCTCTGACGAGAAGCTGTTATTACGGCTCCGCTCGATGCTGTTCGGGCGGGACCGGTACTCCATGCTCAGACTCCCCTGGCGCGAGCCGCCCCCGATCGAGCGGCGGACACGGCGCAGGTCCATGCTCGTCTTCCGCCCGCTGACGGACTTCCGGTTCGGGTCCGCGGACTCTCCGCGGGAGTCCTTCATTTCGGCGTCGGCGAACGAGCCGAAGTCTTCGAAGCGCTCCTGAGAGTCCCGGATCTCTTTCAGGATGCGCAGCGCGCGGGACTGGTGGTGCGGTTGGTCGCGCCCCTCGAGCATCCCTGCAGAAACCATGTGCGCGCGCATGTCGCCGAGCCAGTTGACGATGCGGAAGTTGACGTCCTTCAGGTCGATGGTGATGTCATCGAAGTAGCGCTCGCGGTAGCCGTTGCTTCGCGTGCAGCGGTTGATGGACGTGACAGCCGCCTCTAGTTCCTCCTGGAAACAGACGCAGACGGGATTTTGAGCATATGGAAATGTAGAACCCAAATTCCAATATGGGCTCTTGAAACACGTTTTGCTGCCTCTGATATGTGCCGGAACACATCAACTCCTCCTTTTTGTGTTTGGAGGGTCTACGAGAAGTCTGAATGATTACATCATGAACGGTTCTGATGTATCCCCCACCAGGCGCGTTGCTACGCTTTTACAGTAAGTGGGTAAAGGATAAAAACGAAGATCGTTACAGACCGTGCAAGTGGAATCTTGTTGCTCATCCAAGCTGGTCGTGCTTCTTCATATCCTCTGAAGGGCCCGAACCAGAACTGGAAGCTGAACAGAAGCAAATCAACCTCCCAGTCAAAAGACACCAGATAAGGCTGACGTCTCTAGCCCCCTCGTCACTGCTTTCTACTCCGGATCCAACATGGCAGAGCTGAGGACTGGCAGAAACAATTACTGCCAACGTCTGAACAATTGGTTTGCGCAGACTGGTGGCGATAGGCAGTCTTAGATGGTGCAAAGGGGAAGGACATAACCAAGGACGGCATATTGCACAAGCAGACCACCAAAGCGTTATAACCAAAACGATTGCAAACGAGACCTCTTTACGAAAGCCTGTTCCTCTGCTTTCTTGCACTTAGTAGTCTCGTTTTAAGCAAGCGTTTGATCAAGTTCTTGACGAGTAGGTGCAGCATCACCACAAAGAGCGGAGCGATCGCTTGTGTGAGCCATCTATTGCCCTCTTACCTGCAACCGCTCCAGAAACTCTGACGGGCACGCCTGGCCGTTGTCTTCCACAAGGCTCAGGATGAGGCTCTGGAGCGCACTGATGCGGCCCGCCAGCTGGACAACCATGTGCTTATGGTCGCGCACGTTTTTGGCCGCAGCCTGGACCTGGTTTACCAGCATCACCACATCCATGGCGTCCTCCATAGCTTATGGCTGGGGTGTGTGCTTATATCGGATGATGGAGATGGTATCGAACACCTGCGAGGGGGTGAGGGGGGCGACGGTGAATACCCGTCTTACAAACAAGGGGTTTGGAGAAAGCATATGGCTTGGGGGGTGCTTATGGTTCGGGGAGACCTTATGCAGGAGCGGTAGATGATCGGCTGCCAGAGGGGAAAAAGAAGGGCGACTACTGCGGATAAAGGATGTGCCTGGACTGCCACATAGCCGGTAGCTGCGGTCTATTGATGAGACTTCTTTCTGAAAAGACTGCCTGCAAGAAGCCCTTTCTTCGCACACCTTTTGTATCAGACACGAGGTGATGTGAACACAGAATATAATATCAGCTTCCTGAAACAAAACCAGGAGAAGATGGGTGCTTGACAGAGAGTCCGCATGAATTATGGAAGAGAAATAGGAGCGCAGCGACAGGCTTTGCAACCTCAGCGAGAAAGTCAAGTCTGATACGCCCAGCATAACATGCACTTTGCATACATTGAAGGCGGCAGGACCTGAAAGAGAAGCAAACAATATAACGGACACTTGATTGGAAGGAAGGAAGACGAGTGTCAGCAAGCAGATGAGATTCTTTGCAGCGCCAAGCCTGCTCTTCTTGCAGTCGATTGACTCTCTGCTTCAAGTAATCAATGACGGACTTCAGCTATTCAGGCTTTGCTGATGAATTTCCACAAAGACAACTGGGAAACATTTGCACTCCATGAGGGAACCTTTCAACTACATGTTCTGAAGGACAAACTAGCAATCCTGGGGCAAAACAGGCAGACCTGGAACAGGAGACCCTTCACTCCTCAAATGGGATCCAATGAGAGACTCGCTTAAGCTTCAAACACTATGAAATCAGCTTGGTAATCCCAGCAGTAAGGAAACGGTACTTGACAACAGTCAAAAGCATTGAGTACTCACAATAAGGACAACTTACTCGTAGAAGTTGCCACGTGCGTCTAACACCTTTCCAGAACCCGCTGTCCCAAAACGAACTGCATTATGAGGAACCCCCTTACTGGCAAAGGCTCTGCATGAGGAAAGGTGGGGTGTTTGATCCTTTTGAAGAATGAGACGCTTCTACATGTGAATAGCAAGCAAAGAAGCTGGCTACACCTGTTCAGATACAGAGAAGTTTGGTGTCATTAGCTGAGCTCTTCAAAGAGGCTCTGCCCTTAGCCCTTGAGGTTGAGTAAATTCACTTCCCACTGACCACTTCGTCCTCAAAAGCGCCATCATATATAGTAAAGCTTATCAGAGCCGTGCATCTACCACTTTGACGTAACAATATGAGCAAAAGACACCCTTGTCCGTCATTTGCCAGATTAACCTAAGATTGGATTTGGAATGCATATTACCAATGCCCTCATGGTACCACTGCCCTCATGGACTCTGATTGCCCCCCCCATTGACAGTGACATCGTTGCCTCACGAGGTCACTGTGATATGACTTGCCCCCCAAGGAACACGCCACAGAATTACCACCAAAAGCTGCTAAAGCATTCCGCGCTTCCAGCCTATAACAGAAGCTCGCCCTCCCTCAAACAAACCCCTCATCAGGAGAAGACCTTGCTTATGACGTGTTTCAGACTGAAGGTCATGAACTTCTCATTGTAAGACTTGTGCGTCAGACACAGTCAGGACTTTGCTCGCGTGTCTCTGCTATGCGCGCCGCTCACGCATCTGCATCGTCATTTGCATCATAATGTCTCGAAGTCACGGTTATGAAAGCCTAAACCTAATCAAACCATTTTCAGAACAACCGAAGACACCTCCGACGGGGCGTCTTGTCTGCTATGCATTGGTGTCAAACCACGAACCAAACCGCTACAGTGAAACGTTTGTATACACAACCACTAGTTTCACGTGACGTGCACTTCATCACACTCCGGTGGTTGCATTGTACCCCTTTGGCTGTTGCTATCTTTGAAAGGTGCCATCATCTTCAAAGAAAGAGAGTAGAGCTTTGTGCTGGTTCTTTCTTTTGCCCTCACATCTTGCTCAGCCAGTGGAGGAACCAGCCAGGGAAGGGGAAAAGCAATGCGAGAGCCTTTACAGCTCCAAAGGTCAGATTCCTGAAAGGAATACGTGCATTGGTCCCGCGTCACGAGGACTCAGAGTCAAATGCACCACCGGTTCGCACAATATTCAAAAAGAGCCGGACACTAACGCCCTTGATAAATCTTTTGTAAATCTCTTTTTCCCAGACATGTTAAAAGTGCCCGAGCATAAAGGAGGCACCTTTATATTAGTGCTGGAGTGATTTACCAGCTCAGAATAGGACCGCATCAACGGCGCTCCTGCATTGCCATTGCTTTTGTAGCTGCTTGCGCCAGTCAATGAGAGCCCCTTTCACGATGAGGGGCTCACGATGGCGATGAGGAGGGGCTGACAGCTGCACCAAGAAAAGATAGTCCATTGAGCCACAGGAACACCACTAGACACAAACTTCAAAGCCAAGGTCATACTGGAGTCAGGTGTAATCCTCTCAACTTGCTTTACATTATTGACGCCAGCAGATTGTAGGTTCAAACTTTGAACTCTGCAATGTGAGGGTGGGACTCCTGCCACAGCAGACGCTCGACAAATGCCGAGAGAAGCTGTTACTAATTGTTGCTTCGGTCAACGCCGCCAGAGCACCAGTTACGGAAGCTCCAGTTGTGCAACCGCTCCCTGCAACTAACAAAACATCGAGCGGCCGAAAGGTGACTTAGATGACACTTAGACAAAAGAGAGAGACGGAATAGGTGATCAAGGGGTTCTGGAGAATGCTGGACTGCACTAGCAGGCAAACACAACCTCCCGTCGCTTTCCATCGATCGTCAGGAAATGAGAGGTCAACCCCTGGCGTCTTACCGTACTCTAGCATTTGCTGAAAAGCAGGAATGGAAACAAACAAAATCGGGGTGCATAAGGAGGTGAATTTGCAAATACATATCTTAGAATGTGTTTGCGATTCCATTGGCAGCTTGGCCAACAAGCTGGCTCGAGACCTCCGCAGTACACGGAATTGACAGGGCGACTTCCGGACCAAAATGCACCTTGTGGTATGAGGTCCTAGCCCTTCTGATTCGAAAAGGTCACCAGACACAACTATGATTTTATCGTGTTGAAAAGGTGCCACTTCAAAAGAAATGCAGACAAACTCAAATGTAGGTCAGCTTATCATTGGTGAGGAGTTGCTATAACCAAAATGCAACGGCGATATCTCAAGTTGCTGGCTGGCTGTTCATGAGCACTCTCAGGATGCCTGAAGGGTTAGGAATCATGGAACTGTGACTTGGTGCCAAGCCGCCAAGAGTTTGGAGAGTACGCGTTGCTTGTAAAGTGTAGTGAAGGCCATTTCTGGTTGATGTTCTGATCTGATAGGAGCTGTGGTAAGAGTCAGTATGAAACACCAAGCCTTGAACTCACCAATACCCAGGTATCGGGAATGTACACTAGGCAAACGGTGTCAACACAGAAGTGGGAAAGCTTACCTCATACCCAGACATACGTCTAGCACTCAGTACCCAGCTAGATCTATGCTTCTGGCACTTTTTCAGCCGCATAAAGAGGTCGTTCCAATGCTAATAAAGCAACAGCCAGAATGTGATACCAGGAACACTCTCCAATACCTGCGCCCTTCAACGCCTGTTTAGCTTCAACGGCGTGCTTCAAACCCTCAACACCGGCCCCACTTCTTGAACAGCAATGAGAGGGGCCTCAAAAGCTCAACAGAAACCGCAGAGTACTATTGCAGTGGCGCAAGAGCTGTCCTTAGATCTCTTGGACCTAAGTACCTGCACCTCAAGGTGCCAATCCACTCAAACCAGTCCAAAAAGAGGAAGTAAAAACAGGAGAAGGCCGCGTAAAAGCAGTTAAAAGGTTTGTTCCTGACCTGCACGGCCCTGCAGAGCGCTTGCACTTCAACGTATGCAGTCTGCCAATGGTCCAAGAAGTCTCGGGCCTACCATTCCCCGCCGTACTCCAACCAATGCGTAAATGACGTATGCTGGAGAAGCTGTCCAACAAGAGAGTCCAGCTGATTTGAAGGCTGTAGTCTACCTATTCGAGAATACCCCGTGCCAGAGGCCTTCCTAGCTTGACACTCTCATTGCTGCTGCTCCTCTCATGTAAATCTTATTCTCCATCCATACATCACCTCAGGACGCACCAGCAGCTGTTGCAGCGCTTTCAGAAAGGTCCCAGCAGATACCTATGTTCGCGCTGAGTCCAGGTGCCCAAAACCCTGTCTAACTGTTTCTGAAATGAACACCCTTATGCCTCCTGGTAGAAGCTGCGCCGCTGAAAACAATGCCCGCCACCGCAAAGGAAAGCTCCTCCTCCTGGCAGGCTGGCCCAGGTCCTGAGGCTGGAGTCTGAATGCTGCCATTTTGGCAGCAATGATGAAGCATTCAAGAGCTCAGGCGTGGCACCACCTCTGCTGCAATCCGGGCTGCTGGTATCCGTCTGTCAATGAGCAGTGGTCGCCCTTAATTCCGAGAAGTTGGCGATTCTAGAAACACAGGAAAAGCGAAACGGATCCGAACTTTGTTCAGAGCAGTCTACCGAGCAAATCGTTACTTTCACCATTCCGAATCTGCAACCTTCAAAACCCCTTGTCGAACTCATTGTGTCAACCACCGATTCTTGACTCGAATATCCCTGCGATCGAAGTATTTCGGAATTTTCATTCTGATTGCATTAGGTACTATGGAAGAGGGCGACCCATCCTGTATGCTATTGACAGGGTTCTGATGGGTTTATGATGTCCTTGGCCTCGAGGACGCTGACTTTCAATCTTGTCCGTTCAAATGCACGCGTGGACGGCAGGTAAAGCACGACGCAGCCTCAGTTTAATATCCTGTCATCGATGCGGGTGTGACGCATTATCGTGTCCCAGGATCCGCCATCTGACAACTCCGAGTCTTTGCTGCGCCATATACAAAATCTTTCCTCGGCCGTGAGATCCATACTGGAAAAGCAGTGGACGGCCTGAGATGTATTCTACAACCTGTCGGGGGTACGGTGCACCTAAATCCTCGTCGACCGTGAACTTCGAAGTGCGCGGAAGGCCCCACTGAGTGCTAAGATCTGAGTCATCTGACATCATCTGAGATTGTCAAATACCTCCCGAAACTATGAGACACCTACCCCAGATACACAGCTGTACGGACAATGGTCGCCGACCTCAAAATGGCGATCTGAGGATTTTGTGATCCACCAAGCTCAGGTATAATATCCTGAGATGTGCCCAGTTGGTCATTCCGTTGGTCATATGATCGTCCCTATATGACCCCAATCGAGTGCTAGACGCAAAGACGCATATGCATGTCACTTCCGAGAGTGAAAGATTGTATTGGGCCCGTGCCCTTTACGTGTTTGATCTAGCTTACGGGAACCCCCGTCATGTTTGTCAAATGGCCGCGCGCCCGGACACAGAGTGAAAGTAACAACATGCTAATTGACAGTACTGCATGACCTTAATAGTGAGCTTATATGGCATAGCAAGGCGCGTCCAACATGGTTTCACATTGTAAGAGGCCGCCATCGCCTTAATAGTGAGCTTATATGGCATAGCAAGGCGCGTCCAACGTGGTTTCACATTGTAAGAGGCCCCCATATCGTGAAACAGGGCCGGTTGGCTTGCAGTGTACTCTGTGACTTACATAAGGAGCATGGCAACCTTGCTATCTTAGTACACGTAGATCTAACCTTGATTGAACTACAACCAGGTACATGCAATTGCCAGAATAGACGATGCATGCATGATCATCTGCCATATCAGATTTGGTGCACAACAACCATATACAATGTGTCTACCTTTACCAAACCCAATTCCTTGAAATACACGGACATCTTCGGTCCAATAACATATGCACGAGAATACAAAGTTAGCGTCCGACCAGACACTGACACCTTCCGACGAACTGTTTGGCGCTCAACCTTGTGCCCGAGTCGATGCTGCCCTATGCCTCAGATCCCCCGGCCTTCCCGTTGTTGGGTGGCTGAAACCACTCGCTCCCGGATCCCCATCTCGATTCTCGTTTGGAACCTGACCAACCAACGGCGCAGCATCTCCGATATGCACTCCCCCCGGAGCAACAACCACTTCCGAAGCATGACTCACTGCAACGCTCTCTGGCTGGCTCTCCTCCCCACTAACCTCAATCGTCCTTGCGGCAAGAGTCCGATGCTCGACTTGGTCAAGGCGCCTCCTTAACCGCGCCACGACCCAAAACAATATCGTCGAGAGGACCAACAGAAGGATCGTATCTCCTTGCGCAACGACCCCCTCTAGCGCACCTACAAAACCTCGCTTGCTCCTCTCCGCAAACCCGACTACACGTAAGTAAATATCGTGCGATTGGAAGTATGTGAGAGCGACCGCTAAAGGAAGCAACTCTTCTAAGTACGCATGTTCCATGGCCTCGTCTAGAAGGTCGAGGGCCTTGTGGTGGTCCCGTGGCTGCCCGAGCTCCCCGTGCTCGTAGACCCACGCTAGACTGTACAGGGCCTCCGGGTCGTTACCTGGGGCAGAAAAAAAGCTTTCTGGGTTACGTCAATGACCATTGATATTATCGTCTCAAGTGATACCGGAACAGCGTTCGTGTCTGTAAGGAGATGCGGATGTTGAAGCAAGATGTAGACCCATGCTAGGCTGTACAGAGATTCCGGATCGTTACTGGGATCAAAGAGGAGGTTGAGTTTGGGTTTATGACAGCAATCATCGGGTACGAGTGGTTTGAACCTCGAAAAGCTTTTAACGTCCAAGAACGAAATGCAGAAAATAGAGCGAGACCAGTGCTAGCACACCCAAGCTAGACTTTACAGGGCCTCCGAGTCGTTACATGTGGCAGAGGAGGGTTCGTGAATTTGGGTTACGTGCAAACCTCTTTGGATGAATGTAGTTCTAACGAGGCTTGAAATGCTTCCGGTGTCTTGGACGGAATAAAGGCATTAAAGCGAGGAGACAGCGTAATACTCCACTCTCTGGACGATTAACAAAAGCGACCGAGCCCTGGCGGGCTAATGCGTCAGATGTCCTTTCGGACAAATTTGCGCTGAAATGCTTCAGATGAGAGGCCGGAGTTGTGCTCCACAACGAGAAAAAGAAAGACGGACAACAAAGGAAGGACGTGCGAGTCGGCAGCAAATGCCCTACAGAAGCGAACACACACTTTGACACGAAGGACGATTAGTAAAATGCCGTTCAACATTCCTGCCTCATATGACGAAGGCATCTCGGCCGGCAAGAAACCGGAGACCAGACTAGACTCACTTTCGGCAGCTTCCTCGTAGTACTGCAGAGCCACGTGGCTTCCAGACACGGAGCCAGACCGTTCGTCGGGTTCCGTTATCTGTACCCGGCCGTAGTAGTGCAGGTTTCCAGCATCGATCAGTGCGCCACTCCGGAGGTTGGTCTCCGAGTCCCGCGTGCGCTCCAAGAGATTCAGCGCTAGCTCGTGATGGTCAGAGTGCGTGTACTCCTGTGAAATCAACACAAATTTCTGAGAAGTCGTGGTTTATTACGAGCAATCAGACGCAGTCGTTTTCAAGATGTAAAGTTTTGCGGAAGAGAGATTGAGGACGACTTCAGACTGTCAATATCAGTGTCCAAGGATATCCTTGAATACTCGACTAGAATTGCGAAGGCACCTGGCACTGGAAGTAGACGTCAAATTGGGAAAAGAGACGCGCTTGAATTTGCACAACCACACTTGTCAGCCGACGCGGCAATCCAGGAAACATCGTCCAGCATGTTTCCGGACTTACGCTCAGCGTCCCCTCAATTCCAACACAAATTCGCGTACGCTTTGCTACGAGCGAACAATTGCTCTTTCCCTCTTCTGGCATGAGGACTTGCAGCGCTTCGGGCTTGCCGTATCAGCGAGTAGAATCCCTTGCAACGACGACTGCTTATACACTGGCCGCGTCGCAGCCACACCTTAATCGTGTAGAAACGAAGGCTATTTTTCCGTACTGCAAGTGCAGCCCCGCACTTGACTTGCTCAGAACTCTGACAGAACTTGACTGCCTGACCCTTTCCCCGCCATATGTGGAATCATACAGCCAGACTGCAGATCACATAGAAAGTCATATATCATGAACCCCAAGGAAGATAGCGCCAGCATAAAAACCATGCCTGCACCTGCTCGTTCGTACTCGCCACGTGGACGCCTCACCTTTGACTTTCTTAGGATGAAGGCTGCATTCGCACACGCCACGTGGCTGCCTTGCTCCGCCATGATAAGGTAGCGGAGGAGCGCTGACCACTCGTCGCTGCCCGTGTACGCAAACGCCTCCTCTAGTTCGTCGGGCCATTGACCCCGCTCGCTGATAAATAGCTGCAGGCGAGTGGAAGGGTTCTAAGATCCAAAGATTAAAGGTTTCAAGGTGCCTGGAGTTCTGGGATCTTGGGGGTTTCAAAAAAATTGCTTTAGTGGTAACAAAATGGTTGTCCGCAGCTGGCCCTGTCAACGCAACACCGACTCAGGGAAGAGGAATCACAAGCCATCCCCTCAATGTCTTCTCCAAAGCGGTCAGAATTTTGTGTACTTCGTCAGACTGGTAACACCATTCGGTGCAAAACAGCTGCAGAGACTCATCTACGAGCATTGTGTACAAGTACCAAGGGATCCCTCGACTCTGGAGCGAGGTTGAAAGAAAGAACGGGGCTGTACCACGGGCTAGAAGATGCATTTAGTAATCGGAATGAATCAAGCGAAGACAAGATGGATTGAAGGGCGCGGTAAGCCGGAAGCGACATCGCACAAACGAAAGAGGGCAGCGAACAAGACGAGAAAGCGAGATCTTGCAAGCAGAAATCGAGGCGCGACAAAATACGACGACGGCAGACAGAGAGATCACACTGGGATACGCACATTCGACAATCGACTGCAAAATGAACACATGAAGGCGCGAAAGCCGATACGAAAAGAAGCCAAAAAGGGCTATAAGAGGCGAGGGAGTAGTCGAAAGCAACAACCCGGGAAGCGGCGGGGATTGGAACAAGAAAGACCAGGCCTGAAAAGACCAGAAGTTGAGGAGATGCGTAAAAGGGCGCTCACTGTTAGGAACTGCACTGCCTGGGAGCAGTTCTTTTCGACGCCTGTCCCCTCTGCATGCATCACCCCCAGCGTATGAGGCGCTTTCCAATGCCCAGCGTGCGAGGCGTTTTGGATGTAGGCATATGCCTTCGGCAGGTCTTCCGGGACGCCAAAGCCGCCCATGTAGAGACTGCCCAGATTGTACTGCATCAGAGAAAGGATTCGGAAAGTTAGAAAGTCGAAGTTTTGGAAGTCTTGGGTGCGAGAGGTTCGGGGTATGGTGATCAACGCGTGCGTGGCAGGTCTTTTGAGAGGGCAAAACCGCCCATGTACAGACTGCCCAGGTTGTACTGCATTACAGAAAGGGAGTCAGAATTCTGGTTTCGAAGTTGCGGAAGCCTGGGGCGCGAGGGTTCAATCAGCGCGCGCGTGGCAGGTTCTCTAAGACGCCAAAGCCGACCATGTACAGAGTGCCCAGATTGTACTGCATCAAAGAGAGGCAAATAGGGTTCTAGGGCTTTGGGTTATACAGCTTAGTGCTTCGTCTTACAATTTAGTTTCGTTGCAAAGTTTCTGGAACGACGAAGCGGAGGTGCAGACTGCCGGGGTTGTACTGCCCCAAAAAACGACAGCGTTAGATTTAAAGACAGGTTTTAACATAAAGACAATTTTCGGGTTTTGTACTTTCAGGGTCTGGCGCTTTCGTGGGCACGCGGGAGCAACTCAATCCTACACTCCCCAGGTTGTATTGCATCGAAGGGACACTTCAAATATTAAGTTCAACACATTCCAGGCTTTTGACATCTCGCGATTGACGATTTTAAAGGCAGCTTTTGGAAAGGCCTCCTTCGCCTTGTTGACAGACTTCAAACAAACAAGACTCAACCACTGGCACGCTAAGCACTCACCAAGCTATCGGGGTCTTGGAAAACGGCCCCCAGTTCGAAGTACTCCTTCGCTTTGGTGAAGTTCTGGGGCACGCCCCATCCGCTGTAGTACAGCACGCCGAGTCCGTTGTACGCAGCCGGGAGGTCGTCTTCAGCGGCATACTCGAAGAGCTCACGGGCGGCCGTGTAGTTGACGGGATGCGCGATGCCCTAAAATCAGTGGATTGTGTCAGATTAGGCTAAGCAGGCAGTGTTTCACGGCTTTGAGATACGAGCTCAATCAGCCCCTGTGAGGACTTTCTGGACATACAACGCCCTGCAGAGTTGCGCAAGTGTTATCGTGTTACATTCTCGGTCGGAAGCTCCTCAATCTGAGAAATAAATGGATTTTAGGATCTCTAACTTTTAAAGGAGACTTTTGCGTCAGGCCCGAAGAGGGCTGTGTGGTTGGCAAAGTGCATAGTGCCCGCAAACCTTGTGCAACTCAGTTAAGGAACTATTAGCTGAAGGCTGTTCCGTTCGGATTTGAGGCACGAGGCTCGCAGTCGTCTCTGCGGCCAATGCAAACAATTCAGCAACCACAAACAATAAGAGCAGCTTACGAATACCCAGCGCTTTACTCTCAGGTCTTCTAATCACATCATCAGAGCCGCATAGAAAGGCAAACGAACGATGACCCCTCACCCTCATGTACATGTAACCCAGGTTGAAAGCAGCGTACGGATCCCCTGCCCCTGCCGCTGCTTCAAAGTAGCGCCGCGCCTCGTGCACGTCTTGGTCCACCCCCCGTCCCAGCAGCCGCCGGTAGCCCACGTGGCGCTGCGCTTCAGCAACGCCCCGCAGTGCTAGGTCCTCGTCCCATGCCACCTGCGCCAAATCGGGAGAGGGCTTTGAAGAGGGCTTCAAATCTAGAGGAAGTCGAGACATTTTGACATGGTAAACACGACGCCCTGAATGTTTAATGGGTGAAATTAGATGTTTGAGAGCTGCCAGCAGCCCGCGCAACGCTGCGCCTCCATAGAAACCCTTCGAGGTCGTGACTCCGAAATCAGCCAATGTGTGGACGAGCCGTCTCGTTGTCATTGAGACGCAACCCGCATATCTCTGCACACAGTCCAACTGGTTCTTGAACGACTGGCTTCTGTGAGACTGGTCGACAAGCGACATCTAAGATCAAAGTTCGTCGGGATCAACGAGTTCAAAGGAACCGTACATTGCAACAGTTTCCTTGCAGTCGGAAACCACATCTACACAGGAGAAATTACAACCCTTTTTCGTCGTCAGTAGTTGCAATTGTTGGCGAACGCGCCTCAAACAACCAGCCGAGGCCTCACCTGATCTGGAGCATCTAGATCGAACATATCGTTCATTGCTGCAGATGCGTCCCGCTCTCGGTCGCGCAGCCTGACGGGTGCCCTCGGAAGCACCACGTCACCCACTTCCTGAGCTGAGGTCATGATGCTGTCAGCAACGCCGCGGAGGTACCAGAGGGCCGACGAGCAGCTGGAGTCCACGTGATAACCCTGCAATAAAGAGACTCGTTATCTTTGGAAAAGTGAAATGTTTGTTAAGGAAACAACTCAGAAGTCTCCTACGCAAGTGCGTCTCCTTGGACAGTCATGTCTTACCAAACCCTTCACAGAAAGCCTGACACTTTCAGCTGTGTGGCAGGGGGACGAATGCGGATGCGACCACTTGAAAGATTTGTTTCGTAAGCAAAGCCCTCACTGCCAACTGTATCCAAACCTTGCTCTTGCAGATGTGAGAACAGAAGGTACTCCACAATTTCAAAGTTCAAGGCCGCAGGTACTCGCCTGTGGTCACATCCCTATAATCAAGGACTTTGGAACTTCGATCAGAAGCTGACGACAACCTAGTGATATGTTTAGACCTGCGGCATCTCTGCGTTTCCGACAGCCCTTACGTATTTGTGTCCTGAGAGGAACCCGAGGAGGTGGAGAAGGTCTAGGGACGGGGGAAAAGAAAGAAGAAACATTTTCATCCCCGAAAGCAACGCGACGTCCGACCTTAAGCTCTTAAAGCGAAAAGCGCACCTGATGGTACCAGTGTGCTAGCGCGAGCTGTGCCTGCTGCGCTCCCCCCTCGGCCGCCCGCCTGTAGTACCCCAAAGCCTGCGTCTCATTCCGGGGGACAAAGTCAGATGCGATCCCAGTCGAAGCCAACACCCCCAGGAGGAATTGTGCGTCCGCAGCAACCCTTTCCAATGGCTCCTCCTCCCACACTACGACGTCGGCGCTTTGGTCAACAGCTTTGCCGTCTGAAAGTCTGGGGGAGTTTGGTGTTTCGAAGAGGACTTGGAATAGGTCGTTGGAGATCGATGGCGACGTAGCGCTCGCTGAAGCGGGCGGGTTCGGGCTGTCAAACCCCGCAGGATTTGCACCCCATAACCCTCCTGTTAACCCCGGTGGGTCTGCCAAGCCCGGAAGGCTGGGATCTACCAGCGACGGGTTTGGACGACCGTTTTCAGCCCCAAGCGCTGTGCTGGTTTGGAAGGCCGAACCCACGCCCGTCTTGTACCTCCCCATGCGACTCAAAACTTGCTCCAACTCTTCTTCATCGTCGTCCTGCGAGTCTAACGTCCCTGACTCCTTCTCGCCAGCGGACTGCTCTGCCCCGTCCGCTACGTGGTCCGACGAAGACGGACTGGGGTCGTGCTCATCAGACTGGCGGAAAACGCTTGACGGGGGAGGGGGGATGGGGGCCGGTCTTGGCACGGGTGTGGGTGGCAGCGACTCCCCCTTCTCCTGGAGCCCTATTTCTGAAAGTCTCTCCCCGGGGGGGACTTCTGCAGAGGCAGACTCGACCCCCTGTTGCTGACCTGGGGCGCTTTGTGCACCCCCAACCCGAACGAACTCACTCCCACCAGGCGCTACCCGGAACACAAAATCTTCCTCTGTAACACTCTGTGGCTCCACACTCTCGGTTGCCGCTTTCAACTTTGCCTTCAGCCTATCCAGCTCGTACTTCAACTCCTCGGCCATCTCAACCTGCTGCTGCATGCTTTCGTCCAGCGCATCAAACTCCGCTTGCGTGAGACCCGCTATGCGACTACCGCCCTCTTCTTGCCCCTTAACAAAAGGAACCCCATTTTCGTCCTTTCCCTGCTTCGCAAAATAGTGCACGAGGGGGCTCAAAGCACGCCCCCGACCGAGGATCGTTTGTCCCGGAGGGTGGCCCTCCCACTGAGGCCCGATGTAATGCTCCGGCAACAGAGCGGCCAGCTCTTTCAGCCCCTCGATGGCCGCGCCGACATCGCGTATGTCAGCCCGGGCGAAGAGGACTTCCAAGAGATAGTACAATCGTTCTCGGGCCTCGCTTCCGCTCATTCTAGTTCCCCCGTCAAAAACCCTTTCATTGCCCGTTTTTGAGATGAAGTTGGTGTCCAAAGGGCGCGTGACAGATGGCGCCTCATGGGGGCTTGGAAGTGGAGCAGCTGCAGGCCGACCGAACGGACCCCATGGTACTAGGAGGGAAAAAGAAGTACGGCTATGATTAGCACAAGTTTTAACTGTTGCTTTTTTATCCTCAATGTTCGTTTTTCAACCCTGTTCAAGACAATCACAATCTACTTGACTGGGGTTGATAAGCAGATCAAAGTACCAGGAGAATATAGCCCTCTACTTGCTTGTAAGGAGGCGAACGAAGTTTCCAGTTTTGTGAAGTCTACATAATCTCGCCAATCGGATTCTCAGAAGGACAGTCAATCACTTGCATCGCAGCCACTTCGGACTTGCATGAGTCACATAGTTTCGACCAAGAACTTCTTCTAAGCGGAAGCACACAGAAGTGCACCAAAGAAACAATGATACATGCAGGTTGTCAGCCAAGATATGCACAGGTTCTGTAATCAAACGGGGATCCCTCTGCGCCCTCCAGACAGCAGCACAAAAACATTGCACGCGGGTCCTGTAAGCAAAATTAAGAATCCAGCGGAAGCGGTCACCTCCCTGAGAAAGAGCTTTGAACTTGCCTCATCACATTCACTGCCTGTTCAAAAAAATTGATACTCAAATGCACAGCCTGTTGATCCACTTGATACAAGTAACCCATAAAGAATCCTGCTCACAGCTACGAAGAAGGGGCAACAACAAGAACGGTGCTGGACTCTCTGTCACTTGCTGTTCGCAACTCTGTCAAAGAATCGCAAGCAGCAACTCACCTGTTAACCATGTTGTAATAACGATAACTACAATGAGCCCCACCGCACGGAGAGCGCCTCCAGCCATAAATCACAATAGACTCTTCAAAGTATTGTGGCTGACAATTCTCTGCAATAGGATGGCATCGATGTCAGTGCTGACGAGACAGAGTTCTTGAGTATCGAATCTCATCTGGACAAAATGGTTCTATCGAGCACACGGTGATCGTCGAAGCATTCTCATCATCAAGCACGATGAGGGAAGAAGACCGCATCAAATATTCTGAATCCTCCAGTCAAGTCTCTTTTCGGCATCAAAGCGGCAGGGCCAGGATTCCTTTCACAAAACCGTTTCAATTTAATTGTGCTCAAGAGTTGGTAAACAATAACAGCAGGGAGTTTGATTAAGCAAATTACAATGATTTAATACATCACTGAAAAACTTCTGGGGAAGTGAAAACCAGGAGTGAAGACTAAAAAATGAAGGAGCTGACACCTTCAGCGTAAGTAAAGGGAGAACATAGCCCTTGCCAAAAATTGAATCAACTTATCATGGAAACAAAAATCCACCTGTAGAAACAGCAGATCTTGCATAACATCATCCCGTCCCGCACTTGTGAGAGCCCCTGTGCCAATATTCCACCCAAGCTCAAAGGAGCTGGTACAGTCAGCGACTACTGTAGGAATTTGAAAAGACGAACAAAGATCAGGCTAATTCAACATAGTTCCAACGAAGCTAGAACCTAAAAGAAGCTTTTGCTCTCTCTCCTCTGTTGGCTGGAAAGAGATCGAGTTCTTAAGTGCGCTCCGCTGCTGAATCTGAGCTTCCGAGCCCGAGTCCGGCCACGTTCCGGCCTGCCCAGGCACCATCCGGCTCAGTCGTCACGAAAAGTCACCGTCGAATCCATCAAAGGGTTAAACCATCCTGCTCGCTTTCGACATTGGATGAACACATTCCGGCTGCCTGACAACAACGGAACCAACTCGGCTACTGCTTCTACTTTGAGTTTACTGACCGGAACGGAAATCAAGGCTGGAGCCACGCGCGCAATGCGCGCTGCGCCTCTCGCACCGTATCAAACCCTAATTTTCTTCCACTTCAAATCGTGCTCACCAATTGATAATGGCGCCTCCAAGTTTCACGGCATTGCAAAGATTGAAGGTCAAAGGATGATAATCAACAAAGGCGTTGCATAAAGTGCCGCCTGCATGTTGGCTTCTGAGAAGGAGTCAACTCTCTTCAAGGATCATGTAAGTGACTTGACGGGCCTCGGAGGCATCGGATGATCTGATGGGATTGAATGAGCAACCTGAACATTGTGAAAAAGAGGCGGTCAGCTTTTGGCATTCTCAAAGCAAATGACTTTCTTAGCTTTCAGATTCCTCATATCCACCTTTTCTTCATGCTTTCACCTGATTGTATGGAAGCATAGGGTTGCAACTCGACCTAGGTGGTGCATTTGGAATCAGCAATTGATGCTGAGGAGACGAATTTTGGGGGAATAAGAGTTGATTGCCATTGCTGAGCCAGAGAAATTCTGGTTTGTAAAGGAGGGAGTTTTAAAGGCATAGGATCTCTTCTGATTGCTTCACAGAAGAGCATCAGAGCCAGGAGCCATATCCTGCCAGAAGAGATAGAAGTCTGGATCAAAAGCTAGGCTCTCTCAATGGTTCAAGAAAGCAGAGCAGGTTGAGCCTTCCAAACAGAGCGATACCTGCCTAGTCCTTCCACTAGCTATCATCAACCACCAGCAGACCTCAGATGCTTTTTGGCACCTCTTTCACAAGTCACTTCAAGAAAAGAACTCATTAAAAAAGCACAAAAGTAATGGACTACCTCTACTGTCCTCGCAAATAAAAGCCACCAACCTGACCTGTCTGAATGATTTTTACACAAGGTTCTAAGAAGGGCCTGACAGCTGCGATGCAGTCACAGCCGATCAGGCGGAAGGGGGCCGTACCAGCAGAGGTATACGGCTTTGTCGGGTCCATTGCTTCAATTGTCGCTTATGGTGAGAGTCCCCCAGCCAATGTCTGCTACTCAATGTGGAGCCTTTGAGGTAGCCACAACCTTCATAGCAAGTGCGTTATTTGCCTTGATATCAAGAAAGCAGCACAATACGGCACTGAAAGGATTGCTGCCTCTGACAAGCAGCTGAAGCTGTCCATTTTTGTTAAAGAAAGTCGCACTTTGATCGAGAAGTTCAGTTAACCTTTTCAAACACAGCCTAGATCGTCAAAGATGATCTAACAGACCAGGTACCTCACTCTCTTGAGTCACGAAGATGAAAGGATTGGGACAGATCACAGGCATTCCATTTTGCATGGCCTGCAGGTATCTTCATTGGGCCAGTTAGCAATCTCCTCTTCAATTCCTGCAAGAAGGGAATCAGCGGTGCTATGTTCCCTGCAGACATTGACCGAGCAACCAATTCACCATATTGTTGATCTTTTTTTTTTTGCGTTGTTTTGTTTGCAGCGCTATTTATCCTGTGGGCTTACATTCCTGAACAGTATCTCCACGCGGCAGGAGTGACCTACTACCCCAGCAAGTAAGACTCCAAACTGAAAACATGCCAGTCCTCCCGTCTTCAAATTGTGCTACTGATACATGTAGGATAAGTGTAAGATCGTTTCAGTGTTGAGCTGATATCAGTGTCTCCTTGTGAGTCGAGCTCAGCCCTGCCCGGCGTCTATGGTACTACATTCAAGGAACAGATCGTCTCAAGTCAGATTGCATGGGTCAGGAGCAATTGGTCCATGTTGAACACGTGCTTCCAAAAGGCAGACCCTTTTTGTGTCGGATAAGCCTTTGAAGAAAGCGGCTCTTCTTTTAGAAGTTCACGTTTCCATGCTCTCAAAGTCATAACGCCAGATCAGTCGTTGCCTCCACATAGCGATCAAACTGCGTCAAAAGAGCGAGGAGTTTGGTTACGAATTTCTCGGCGCCAAAAGCGTGACGAGTCGTTTTGCATCTTCTTCTAAATTTGACGACCATGTTATCCTTGCAGGTATTGGGCAATCGCTCTGCCCGCTTATGCAATCGTGACCGTCTTCCTGGCCGTCCTCGTATACACGGCCCTCTGCATGATGTCTACGAAGCCCCTTGACTCGCCTTACACGATCAAAGGTGCGCTTGTCAGGTGTTCCTCTCTTCTGACTTGACCTTTTTGGGCTCCCTCCCACCTCCAAAAGGTAGGTCTGCGTTCGTGCTCAGTACAGCGCGGCTTTATGTGGCACTGCGGATTCGTTTTTGATCGTGCATGAAAGAGCGAGAGAGTTTTCCTTTGTGTTTCTGACCGCCCTCGACTTTTTGATGTCTATCATCAAGTGACAATCTCCTGCACTTTCGAAGATGGGCGGGTTGTCTTCAAAGCAAGCTCAGACAATCATCTCGCGAAAATGTTTTCAGGTCCGTCACAAACGACGTCATGGCCAGTGCCTGGGATAGCGCAAGGAAGACCCTTTAGACACTCGGCGTTGCTCACCGTTCCAGTTGCATATAGACCCAGATTCCCTGTGCTACAAGTCGTTCTCTCGTGTTCCCGTCCAGGCAACACCAGGGAGTCGCCGTGCTTGTTGTGTATGCGATTTGCGAACGTTGCTGACGTCTTTCAAACGTTGACGAGTTGTTGGAGTACCGCTTTTGTCTTTGAGTATCTAGCGGGCAAAGGGGTTCTTCGTCCGTTCAAGTCTGCTCGACCTTGAACGCTTACAAGCTGAACCGCCCGATTACTCGTGTCACTTCCTTCATGGCCATCTTTCCCTGGTCTGCAGACGAGTACTCTCGGTCCCGGCTGCCCCCGCAAAACTCAGACGACTGTACGGAAGAGCCCATTCCTCCAGTCTCGGATATGGACATAACGGAAGTCAACATGTGGCTGTACAAAGGCCAGGCATTAGAGTAGTCGTCAGCTCTGGCGCTTCCGATCGGGTCCCATTGCTACTTCTTAGTGAAAAGGGGCAAAATCGCCAGAACGGTCCTGCACGATCGCAGCACTTAATCTCAAGCTCAACCGATCCGACCAAATTCTTCAACTAGATATCTCTACTAAATAAGCGCGCAGACTCGCTATCAGCGTTTCCAGGCAGGACACTATCCGGGGTCCAAACTTCATTTGAAGAGATTTATCGAGCCAGCATCCGGATCCTCTGATCGAAGTGATTCCTTAGTCAGCAGCCCTTCGGCAAAGAGCGGAACTAGAGCGAATTCAGAAACATGGCAACCGGATACTGCTCGGCGCCACACTCGGCAGCGGACCAAGTCGCGCAGCTGCTCGCGGAGCTCGACGTCTTCGATCAAGAAACGGCTCGCCTGAGCCGCGAATGGGAGGCCAGTGCCATGCTGCCACGTGGCAGCATCGCAGGTGGAAATTCCTATTGGCGAACCGGCTTTGCGAATGAGCACGTGCCGTCTCAACCGTGGGACACGTGGGAGCACCCCAGGGCGAAGCAAGATGGGGCAACGGTAGGAATTGACACTCTGGGGGCTTCTGCGGTTCTGCCATCTGCTGGGAGGCTTGAGGAGCGGAATCAGCGGAACTGGGCGGATCGCTGTGTATCGTGGAAAGCGGAGACCGTTCCAAGGTCCGGGGGCTTGGAGGGCTGGGAACGGGAATGGAACAACGCGGCCCAGGAACTTGGGGAGGTTAGTGGCGAGGGTTTGGCTAACCAAAGCGAGGGTGAAAGTCTGGTGGACAATAAGCTGAACTTGGTGGCTGACGAAGATGGTTTGGGAAACCAAAGCGAACGAGAAAAGGTTTGTGGGCGGGGTTTGGATAACGGAGGGGTTCCGCAAGAGGACGGACGAGATGGATTGGAGAAGGGGGACGCGATCGTGCGTCCGAAGAAAGCAGCGTTCACGTTCTCAAGGACTCCAAGGTTTCCTGAAGGTATGTGTGCTTCCCTAAAGACTCCACCACAACAGCCGCTTTAAGAGACGACTGGCAGGCTGCATGCGAGGAATATACTCACAGCGGTCTCGCTGCTGTCTCCATCGAAGCTCCTGATTGAGCTGGAGTGTATTTGTGTATACGTCATCAATATTTTGCGATACACTGCTTGCTATTTGAAGTCCGTTCCACGAATTTCTGTGGATGTCGACCTTGCAAGTGTTGGACCTCCAGCTTGATGCCTTCATCGGCTCATCTGAACCTGACTCCAATAGTGGCTGACGTCATCTGCAGCTGACGAGAGCTTTGCCTATCTCTGCAGTTTCGACGGCGTCTACAGAATCTGCTGAGGCGGGTGGCAAGATAGTGCTCACTGAAGCAAACCCAAACCCTAAGCAGGCGCAAACCTTGAACCCGAAACTTGCTCCGCCGTTTGCTAAAGCGCCCCCCCGGAGAACCAATATTGAAGAACTGGTTACGCAATCGATGCCCACTACGGATATGGTTTACGAGCCAGAGTATAAGCTCGTGCATAAGAGGGTCCCGGGGACGTCTTTCGGAAAACCGGTCAGCGGCCGGGGGAAGAAACGGCGGGGCTGCGGTACTGATTCTAATGACGGCGTTCGGCAGGCCGCTGAGCGCAGCGTTTTGGACAGCCTTTGTCGAAAGTCGGGTGCGAATGTGGACTGTTTCGGAGAAACGCGCTTGGTCTTATCAGAAGAAAAGAGTGAAGGAACTAACGAGATTGGCGAGGAAAAGAGCACACTGGGGCCAGGTTTCTACGACGTAGACTTGAAACCGGTTCAGAAACGGGTCCCCGCTGTCGGGTTTGCTACCATGGTTTCACGCGAAGAGCCGGGTAGAGCAAGGAGGACGGAGGAGGGTCAGCTGCTAACCCTGGACTTAACCCGGGCGCTGGGCGCGGTCAGCAAGCGGGTCAAGGGGGTCGTCGGGTTTGGATCAGGGCCGCCCCGGTTTGTGGAGGAGGACGACAAAGAGAATCAAACGAGAATAGAGGTATGCTGTTTGCAGGATTTTAATTGGTGCGGATCACTCTCTTGTTGAGCAAACGTATGCCTTGTACCTCATTGTGTCGAAGAGAATTTGGCTTGGGGAGTCCTGACATCTATGCTGCTCACAGATGGAACCGACGCGTGTCTTTTGGGAGCGAACGAAGGCAGGAGATGGAAACAATCTTGATGACGAGCTTGCTGAGTAAGATACGTGCTCAGCTTAAAACGCCTTAAAAGATTCATCTCAGAACCTCTCAACCGTTAAATACATCCAACCGCTTATGTAGACTTTACACTAGACCTTAGACCTTGACTCAACCCAAATCCTTCCGCTCAGCTGGAGCCAAACTACCGCGCCCTGGAGCCACGCGTCAAGGGCGCCCTTCCATACAAGAAGCCGGCCGGTGCGGACCGTCCGAAGCCCCTCAGTCCGGAAAACTCGCAGCTGCTGACGTCACGCTCGGCGGCTTCCAGCCTGGGAACCGCCTCCCCGATGGATACACCCCGAGGGGTGCTCCCGTCTCCAGACCCCAGTGAGTTGCGCGCAGCGCTCAAAGTGACGTCAGCAATGTTAGTTCCCGGCTTCTCCTTGCTTCCACTGGCACGGGGTCGGTATGACGTCAGCAGGTCCGGTTTCTGGCCTTGATTCCAATCACTCCTTCGCGCAAGGTGGGTAATCATTTCAAGTCTTCGTGATACAAGACGCACTCTACGTGATTGGTATCTGCTTTACGGAGTTGTTTACTATTGATCTTACTTACAGACTCACCTTTTTAGTCTCTTCTTCTCGATCTGTACGTTTCCTGCCATGCCATGTCGTTTGAACAGTCCTGTCGGACCAGGTTAGAAATGTGGCATCCAGAAACACCACAATTTTGATCCAAGATCGCACTAAAATTTCAATGCACGATTCGTCTCGCGTTTTTATTTGTATTCCCGACCTCTTTGCCAGCTCCCCTCTTCCCGCGTCACCCCGCATGGAAGTTCTCCCCGCCTACGAATCAGGGGTCTCCCGCAAAGCCGCAAACCAGACCCCTGCGACAGTTGACCCCAAATGAAACGCTCGTACGGCCTCGGACGGAGGGAGCGCTCGAGTTCGGACGGGCTACCGGACGGGTTGGCAAGGAGGAAAGCGTGACGGTGCGACTGAGACGGGCGAAGCAACCGGGGCCGGGGCAATACGCACTGGCTCAGGCGTGGCGGTAAGAAAAGGAATGCGCAACGCTAATCAACGTACCGATTGCTTCGACGGTTGACTTTGATATGTATGCTTCAGACTGTGGTTTTGGCCATGCTGGCACTACCTGTACGTATACGGCTGTCCCTCACTTTTCTTTCGGACATTTGCCACGTCTGATGGTCGGGACGAGAGACGTGGCATTTTCTGGAGACGCGGGATTGTTAGCGGAGTGAAATTTAGAAAAAGAATCCTCAGCTATTAGCCAGTCCGCAGAAGTAAACTCATCTGGTAATGGAGACTGGAGAAGCACGAGCAAAGGTTTGTCAATGCTTTGAATGTTCAAGAACTTCTGCTATTCAATCTGAGCACAGTAGCACTGAGTCTTGCAAGCGTTGACTCGATACTCAAAAGCGGTTTGTCATATTTACATCCTACTGACTTACTCCTACGTAACAAGGCCCTCAGAGCGCTGACAAAATAACACGACAAAATCGACGAGCCAACTTTTTCCATAAGTCAAGCCTTTTGAAGTCACATCTTCCGATTTGGGCCTGGTGTGGATTAAGCGACTCCCAGAGTGCTCCGCAGATAGGCTAATGCTTTTTCGCTTTCTCATTCAAAACAGTAACTTTGGAGAAAGGGTCGAACAACGCTTGACATTAGCAAAACGCTGACGAACGCCGCAGTCGCACCCTCCGATGTTCCACTTACGCGCGCGCAGGCACCTCCAACGGCACGTGCCCAGCGCCGCCTTCGGCGCGATGGCGCGGCGGTGGGCTGACGCTTCGCTGACGTCAGCTGACGGCATCCGGACGGCCCTGGAGGAGCTGTCCGCGGCGGTCCGACTGACGCGGCCGCGGCCGCCGGCCTGGAGTTTCGTTCCGGTGAGGAATGCGTGCTCGCTCATAAGACGCGTTCCGTTCCGCGGAAAGCGGAACGAACTGTTTTGTCGCAGGAGACTCTCAGCCAATGGTGGGTACTCGTAGAGGTGTTTACCAAAGATCGTTTCAATATTTGAAGTTATGAAAAAGATGCTTACGATCAATTAAGCATTTCGTGAATACTGAAAACCAAAGCATGGTGTTTTCTGAGCGGCTACCGTACCTGTGCTTGATTTCGGCAAAGGTTTTAGTTATCTGGCCTGCCGAAAGTTCCGGAATTTTTTGCAGCGATAGCGGTTCACAATTGGCTATACTAGCAGGTAACTACACGTCTGCCGAAAAGAACAAAAGTTGCATGGTTGATCAATCGGGGTCGAAGGTGCCGAAATCAAATACAGGTACGGTATTTGGGTGCCGTCCTCTATTTGAACGTTTCTTTCTGCCCCAGGTGTCCGCATCGCTCCCCGTCCGGCGCACCTGGGACGGCCGCCGCCCGCTGGACGTCCGCATCTCGTTCGTCAAGCGCCGCACCGGGCTCGCGCTCGGCTTCGACGCCCAAACCGGCCGACGTCACGCTGACGTCACAGCGCGTGACGTGGACCGGCGGGACTACTCGGTGCACTTTGAGTTGGTCGAGGCGGCAACTAGGGTGGCGGACTTTGGGCACGGAAGCGAGCGGAGGCTCGGGGGTGACGTCAGCGAGGGGGACGGGTATGGAATGGAATTGGACGTTGATGGAGGCTTAGAAGCGACGAGATGGAGGTGAGGGAGTGAGGAAAAAAGTGCTTTGGAAAGAACGGTTTTCGCAGGGGGCCGGAGAACCTCGAGCTTGCTTTTGGCTGTTGTGAGTTTTTTGCCTTGCTAGTTCGAAGCCCTGGTTTCACGTAAATTCCCGGCGTCCGCCTTGAGAAACTTCAAATTAGGTTCAAATTGCCTACCAATCCAGCCTTGTTCTTTATCCTACTCTGTTCGTTTTGGCCAATCCATGCCAGGTTCTTCGTTTTCCTGTACCGCTTCGTACAAAGGCTTCGGAAAGCTCGTCAGGTCGCAGCTTAGATCACTGTCTGAGCGGCTCACTAGGATCGTTCTTCTGCCGTTTCTTCGATTCGAAAAGACTTACGGATTGCATAGCGAACCGGAATGACAACGAAGCAGAAAGTCGGAGCCAGTATCCTTCAAATAGTAGTCCTTCTCAAGCAGCGCCTCCTTCGAGTCTCTTGACTTTCTCTGAGATTCTACGTGACCTTGAGAAGTGCTCCTGTTTGACATAAACAACAAGGGAGCTACAAAGAACCGGCTGGAAGCAATAAAGGAGCAACAATCTCTTCGATTTTATTCTCTGTTGTGCCCTGTCAAAACTTCTTGAGCAACGACAAACTTGATCCCTTCTTTATTGTGCAGGCCGCCTCAAATGGTTCCAATTGACAGACAAACCGGACGCCCGCAAAGTGCGGACGGTCCGAACCGGCGGACCAGATTCTTGGATCCGGACGCAGACCTGCCGTTGAAACCACACGTGCCCACAGTACACATGAGCGCACATCCGAACCGTTGGATCGACGACCACGGCTCATCGGACGGTCCAGATGTGGGCGCGTATGACATGGGCCGACCGATCGGATTGGATGCGACAACTGTCGATTTTGCATTGGCTAAAGGGAGGGAGTTAGCAAAGCGTGTTAGGAAACGGTTAGAGGGCGACCGGTTGCTTCTAGATGTTGATGCCGGGTGGGACGCGGTTAAGCCCTCAGCACCCTCGGTTATCATTAACCCAGTTCCATCGGAGGGGCTGCACCGGGAGCTTCCCGGTCCGGAAGTGGGTTACTACGAGCCTAACCTGACCCTAACCAAGCGGCGGCCATTGGACGGCGTCGACATGAGCCGCATGCAGGCGCGAAACCGGATTACGGAGACCGGTTTACCGGACGGGGAGCGGTTAGCGGCCGGGTTAGGCGAGTACCCTCTCTCGGACGAGGCCGTCAGGGCAACGGTCAGGGTTCCAGGGTTTGAGAGATATAGGGGACACGTGGCAAATGGTCCGAGAAACGCGTGGGATGACCAACCGGAGTTGGCAGTATCGGACGGGCTAGTGCGTCCGCATCATTGGACGCTGTCCGACATGGACAAAATGGTCGGGCGGCGGGAGGAGCAGCGCGAGCGGTTTACGGTGAGTGCCTATGCAACTTGCCATTGCTCTATCTCGACCTATGCGGTTTTTTTCATGGTGAGAGGGCGTTTCAATCGTCGAAGGAGTTTGCGATGCTTGACCACGGTTGGAGTGACGAAGCAAAGGCAGAACGTGTTTCTTTGATCTTATGTACGAGTGAAGGTTGGGGGTTTGTAATTGCTCAGTAACAAGCCCAGCTTGTTTTTACAAAAACAGAGCTGCTTGTCGCAGGTCAGTCGCTTTTGTTTCTTGTAGTCTCCGATTACCTTGTCCTTTCAGCCATATGCCTGAGAACATGCGCGCTCCGGCCAGCCATTCCGCCAGTCCGCCTTCCCGCACAAGAGCAGAAGGCCGGACGGAGCTCGGACCAGAGACTCGAAGTAAACGTCGCATCTTACTCGCTATTTTAAACATTACTTTCCCATCTTTTCTGATTCGCAGGACCTCGACTACGATACGAACAATGCCGCATTCCGGCCCGCCGTTCCGTCCGTCCGCCTGGCCGCACAAACGGGCCACGAGACCGTAACGCAACCGACCGGAGCTGGAGACCTCGATGCCGGCTGTTACGACGTAACTAGAGTTGGGGAAAGAAGAGCGCCGGCGGTGGACTTTGTTTCAGGCCCGACTCGCGCAATACTGGGTGAGTTGGGCGAGACTCCTGAGTACGGTCGAATAGAGTAAATGTTCCGCAATTTGAAAACTGCTCTCATCAAGAATCTCCAATGGCTTGCGTATCAGTAGGACATGAGAAGATTCTGACGAGTCTGAGCGGCTGAGGTATTAATAAAGAGGCTGGAGAGTCGACGGCGATCCGGCGGAGCTGCCAACCGACAAGGTTCAGACTCACGTTCTCCGGGAACCTGTTCAAACTGGGTCTTTGTCGGCGACTCAGATGTCACTTACAAGCCTTGTCAGGGCCTTCTTCTAAGGAGTATGTCTGTAAGGGGCAAGTCTAACTTGGATCTATCTTCAGGTATTGTCCAGCTCACTCCCCTCCGTCCGTCTGCTACAACTTTTTGGTGTGCCCCCAATTTGCCCCCCACCTCCTCAGACAAAAGAGCGGATCTCCCGGTTGATGACTGATTCCTTAATGAAAAGTCTTTGCGGACTCCAAACTTCAACCATTGACTTTGTCGCAGATCCATACGAGCCGTCGATGGAAGGCGACCAGCTCATCCTGGCCGTCCACGCCGCCGAGCCGGGCGACGCGGCGCGGCGGCGCGCGGCCGCGGCTGCGGACTTCGGACGCGCGTCGGACCGCTGGCTCCCCGGAGAAGTGGCGCTTTTGGACCGGGCGGAACTGGGGAACAATCTGCTGCTGCGACCGGAACTCGGACCGGTTAGAAGAAGGGCGCCGGAGGTGGACTTCAGCCGAGACCGACCGAGGTAAGCGTCTGGTTTAGTTAACCATTCCTTGACTACCTTCGTTTTGGCCTGCCCGGGAAATGGAGGTCTTAGACCGGGCAGAATTGGGGAACAATCTGCTGTTGAGGCTAGAACTCGGACCGGTCAGAAAACGGGCGCCGGAGGTGGACTTCAGCCGAGACCGGCCCAGGTAAGGATCCGTGTCACAATTGCTTTAGTGAAGCCTTTCTTTTGACTTGTTCCAGAATTGTGGAACGGCGCTCTTGAACCGGCGGCACTGGAGCAATCTGCTGCTGTCACTAAGCGAGGGGGAATCGACTTTGTTGCAAGGTGCTGACGTCGTGACCAATCTTGTGTTGCAGATGGGAGTGGGCTGACGCACGCGCTGACGCGATTGAGCTGTATGGCGAGGGCCACTTCATGGAGCACCACCTGGACGACGCGCCCATGCGCGCGCGCACACCCGGGTTCGACTTCGGAAGAGTGGAAGGGAGGTGAGCTTAGAAAAGGCGTTTTTAGACGCATCTGAATGACGTCACAGAGGGGCGGCTGCTCAGCAGGTTCCTCTTCTGTCGCCGAAAGACAAGCGTCTCGGCCTCTGTCCCCGAGTGCGTACTAATGTTGAACGGTAACCTGTGCTGACGCTGACGCCCGCCCCAGTCATATGCCCTCTTTAAGCCGCTTCAGAGGGGTCCAAATGAGCGGTGCAAGCCTCTTGTTGGTGGTCCTCTTTCTTCCTTCCAGTTGGCTTTGTTGCAGGAATATGTCTTTAGGGTCGGCGATGAACGTTAAGAAAGTTGGAGGGACTTAGCGGCTCTTTTTTTCCCCCATTGGTTTTCCACTCAAAAGTGTAGGCCAAGCAACGTAGATAACCAATATCTGCCTTCGTTGCTGTCTACCGAGGGCAGGCTTTCCGGTATGAAATTCGCCTTGAAAACAGTGGAAGGACGGTGACCGGGTTTTATTCGAAACAAGTCAAGCGCCACACGCACGTGAAAACAGGTTCTCCGCTTCACTTTCGCTGGTCTGTCGTTTTGTGGTCGCTTCCGCATGTTGTGCCGTCCCGCTCTCTCTTTAAAATTCGAGTCGACGTTCTGTCAGCGTTGATTTATTCGCCCAGTCGCTCTTAATAATCAACGCTCAAGTAAGCGCCTTCTGCAACCCGCAAGGTGCCCGCAGCGGTACGTTTCCAAGCTCTGCCAACTTCTTTCTTCTCGGGCCACCCACTCCGTGCCTGCGCAATCTGTGTCTCGCCCCTTCTTAAACCACTACCTCCCGAAGACAGTGCGATTGATACCCAAAGAACCGTTTAAAAACCCTGAAACCCCCAACCATGAATTGAAATATGTAGCCCGTAACGGAACGTTTTACGACTTCGCTTCAGGTCCGCTCTCGAAGCCCGCGAAGAGAAGCGCGTCCTCCGGGCGATGCCCCGGGGTCAGCCCATTGAGCAAGAGCGCCTGCTTGAAGGACTGAAGCTCACCCGGTACAATCCCCCGAGGACCAACTTCGGCCAGCCGCCTTTGCCACCGATCCAGGAGAGCCTCGGCCGGGGGGAGGCGGCGGAACGGGCGTTCTTCAACCGTCTCACAAAAGAAACGAGGTGGGTTAGGGGAGTCACAAAAGAAACCAGTTTACTTCAGAGAAGAACCAGGTTGGATGGGAGATTGGATGCTGCTGGAACCGTAAAGCTATAATCCCGCAAAGCATGCAAGTAAACGCATCATGCATTTAATGCGAAGTAACTTCTCCGACCGACGGCAAAAGGGGTCAAGAGATATTGTAGTGATTCGATCAAGGTCCAGGCTGCACTCCTGTGACCCCAGATTAACGCTGAGAAGATGTCTTTTCCTGTCAATTCATTTATGTGCTTGCGAAGCTTCCGGCAGATTGCATCACCTCTTCACGTACTTCCAAACAACGTTCCCGCAAAGCTGCCTCGTTCCGCAGCAGGTGGCTTTTGCCTAACTAGAGCGAGGAGCGATTCGATTCTTTCCCGTCTTGCAGGTTGAACGCAATGATGGACAGACTGAAGGGGGGAGCCGATAACTTGGGCAAGCCCAAACGGAAGATACGGGTCAGCGGCGCCGTGGCAGTTGACTTGGAGGCTGTGCGGGAGGGGCGCGGGTGGGGCCGGAAACGGAATGAAAGAGGAGCCGGAAATTTGCGGTCAATGGTGGCTTGAGACCTAAGGGTGTGTGTGCGTCAGTTATATCACCTTGAAGTACGAGTACGTTGGCGCATGATTGTGTCCTCTTTGGAGGCTGTTCTTGAACTGCGCACCTTTCTTGCACGCAAAGTTCTCTTGTAGAAAGGCATGTGATAACGAAGGATTATGCGAGAGCGGTCGGGCGGCGTTCCAGCCTGATCATGCAAGACCGTCTCGCTTGATGAGCGCTGAGCACGGATACTAACTATGCCTTCCGTGGTTTATCATGATGGAGACTCTATCATTGCAAGGCCATGAGCGCAAATGTACTAGTGTTTCCATTATAGGGCGCAGGCTCATGGGGCCGCGATCGTCTGGCATGTCAATGCTCAGTTGTGTCGATCATGTGCAGGACTCATCGGCCGGGCCCATTGCGGTGCGTGCATATTGCATACCCTGACAGAAGCTGCCATAGTCCGATAGCTCATGCATGATTATAGTCCGCATGCCGTAGATCTAGATACAGCTTTAATACTAATAATTTGCGGTCAAAATGCATATCCAGTTGGCCGGGTACTAAATTCGATACGACCAGAGTCGGCGGCCCCCATGCCGCCCTCCCATCCGGCTGAATCTTACTGAGGCGGCCAACTAATATATCGCGTTCAATCATAAATTTGGAATCTCCACGTTTTAGCTGTGGCGGCATGAAATTATGGGCACTGAATGATTGAGTATATCTGATGAATGTGGTATCATATGGGTGATCAAACGCGATTGCGTTTGGCAGCTCAGTGCATGCAATTGGACTGCGGTATACATTGATTGCAAGCATCATTGCATGGACTGCGCCGCGCTAATGATACCATATGCCACTATCAGAACACATGCTCATGCAAGAGACTGAAGAAGTCAGTACCTTCAAAGTTTCCACATGCAAACGTGATACAGTGATAACATACAGCTAATCATTTTGATCGTACATTTACATTGTAGCATGCCGTTTTTAGACCTTGGTCACCCCCCGTCAAGATGTATATCAGCGCGTCCTGTCCTTTTGATGCCTCCCTTTCTTTCGCCAATGAGACGTTAGAGGACCCGTTCTGTTTCTCGACCAACCAAACATTGACCAGCGAAGTCCGACTGGTGTTGACGATGATGCCTCTTGCATCATCTCGACATTCTCAAAAGGCAGCACCTGACAGCAGACAACGAGACTATGTGATTCAACTTGAAGGGAAGAAGTCATCAATTTTCGAGAACGGCCAGCCATATTTGAAGGGTAGGTCACGCCTTGACAAACTTTGCAATAGGTATCTGGCAGTTTGACGAAAACAGTGTGATGAATGATTACGTTTTTGCAGGCGTCTTTGTGCTGGGCCTAACTATTTGTGTGTGGTATCAGACACAGAAGAGGCTGAGCAGTGAGTGTGGTCGCAAACAGCAGGATCCGAGGGTTCATATGGGCAGCTCTTCGCAAAACCGTGGAAGAGAAAGTCGAGGTGATTTGAATATGTATGACAGATGTCACCCTTGCTACAAAAGAAAAGGGGCGTCCCAGACTCAGTCATCGAAAATATGATATATTGCCAAAATAATCTGTATGACCAGGTTGACTGGTCAATCCTTAGGATGACTTTTCCACCGATGAAGCAAAGGAACTGTGCAAAAGCGGACCTGAATAACAACCTAACTTCAGATGTGAGCGAGATCGTGCATGATCTCTTCAAAGCAGAAAGGGACTTTGGGCGCCCAACCACCTAGCAACTCTCCTGATCCTGCTCCAACTTAAAGCGCCTATCCAAACTTGTGCCTCTCCATTTGCACAGCAATTTTGCAGCGCAGGCCTTAAAGATGCCAACCAACTGCATGGATGGATTTGGACACTCACCTCAGCAGCATACACCATTGACAGAAAGCATGCGCAACGTCACACTACCGTCAGGGGCCCACTACCGTCAATGGGCTCACCCTTCCTTCTTGCCTGCTTGTCGAGTTTGTCCAGTGGTCTAACTCAGTAGCGAAAAGTACTTGGATACAAGAGTAGAGGTCTGAATGCGCCCCTGTCTTTGGCTAATACAGTACAGTACACACAACCATCATTTCTGTGTTCCTACTGTGCTTGCTTGATGTGACCGTTATTGAAGCGGGTCTACACGAGCTGCTCGACTTCAAAATCCAAGACTTCACAAATGCAGCGGAGCCGTCATATTGGACCACCATCGTTCCTCCAATGTCACATCTTTTGTTGCCCACTCTGCTTCTGCTTCTGCTTATGAGAATAGGTTCTCCTCTTCTCTTTTTTACAAGACTTGCAATAATTATCCAACCCATCTATCGTGTGGTTTGCCACTGTAAACTCACTACAAGTCTTCTCCTTCTCACAAGTAGTGCAAAACTTTGTCTTTCTACATATATGAATTGGAGCCTGCCTGACCATTTCATTCCACTTGGCTACCTCCTTGGAATGACAGAGTATGCACGCTGACATCCGACCATTTTTCCTGCTCTGGTCTGTGTAGAACTCGTCCGCTCCTTTCACCTCCAAGCAAGAACTGCATTGCTGAGGCTGATCAGTCGGGGCATAACGTCGCCGACGTGCATACGCGGCTGCCAAGCACGCCCGACACCACTGATTTATCTGGTCCTTCTTCGCGACGTTACGGCTGAAGTCGCGTAGTTCCTTCACCAAACCAAATTTCTTACATGGCTTCGCTAACATCCACGCTTCATCTATGCTCAAACCTAGATGATGCAACTCTCTTCTCGCACGCTTCGCCCTAAAGGTTGCCAAGCATGCCCGGCACCCGTCAGACCGCCCATCGCTGCTCGTGACTGTTTCCTCAAAATCTTCGACGGGCTTGGAATGCTCGCACAGTTTACAAGTCTTGAAGAAAGGTCTGGTATCACTCTCCCCTAACCCGGAAGCTGTCCCACCCACAGTGCTTGTGACATTGGTCCGCATAGGAGCGCTTTGTTGATGTGACTGCCCATCACCCCGAGGTTCTCCAGACTTGCTTCCTGCAACCCCACCTCCCCCAACATTAACTCCAACCCTCAAAATTTGTCTAGTGCCCAGAAACCCTTGTCTACGTGCCTCTCTGAGAAGCAAGGACTCAAAAAGCACATCACTCGCTAACCGAAAAGCAGACGTGGGCACGAAAATTTGAGTGGCGCCGCCACCAAAGCGGCGCGGCACTGCAGCCAAGGGACAACTTGATGCCCCAGCTTTTTGGTGCATCGCACTTGCCAACGCCATTTTCTTCAACCAGGTGTTTGCTGCTGCTCAAGAATTATCCTACGGCTTGATCAAGTGGCTCCTGCTGCATTGGTCAAGTTTCCCCATGCCGTACACAGTGGTGTCCAGGGCAGCGCGCGCGCTGAGCCTAGCCGGGCACAGGTTCCGGTGAGAGCAATTCCGCCGAGACTGCCACCGGAAACTTACCGGAATCCGTGCACTGCAATTTGGCTCCAACCTTGAGGGAGGAGAGTTTCGAGCGCATGCATGAATCTGCTTTGTGTATTAAATCGTCGTGATTTGAGCTACCGGTAGATAGAATTACAGAAGGAACATGAGTCTTGATGCATGTGACATTGTGGATTGGCGAAGCTGAGCGTTCTTCATGCATGGGCTGTCATGGCCAACTCAATTGTAAGTGGGCCGATGATCGAAATTGGATGCTGTGCATGTTTCATCACAACAGTGTGACATAGGGAACTTTTTTGATGACTTCAGCCCATGTGATCGACAATTATACCATTGACTGCTGGCTCGAAAAAGACTTGACAATGGCCAACAAACAATTGACGCTCGGCGCAGTGCCAAATGGATTTTACGTTAGTGATTGGATCGCCGATCCGGGCACTTCGAGATTCCCCCTCCCCTATTCCCTCCGACGTTTCGTGGGCAGACATGCATATGGGGCTTCGTTTTCCACCATCTGAACTCTGTGAGCTCAAAGGAGGGGGTCGACCTTGTCGGCTGTCTCTGAGTGATTGATGTGAATGGGCACAAAATGGGCACAACATGGGCACGAGTCGGAGGCCGCACGACCTGTGAAACGGACTTGTAGCTTACTGTGGACTCATCAGAACCACCCCTGAGTGCACTGTAGTGTGACGCAACAACTTCAGGTCGGGTTACATCGAACTCCAGGTTTACTCAATCTGGAGTAACCGCTCGTAAACAACTAGAAACGTATGTTCTGGTAGCTCTACCATTATCCGCGCTTGAACTATTCCCCTCGGAACAAGCATATATTCCTGATCACATACACAGAGCTCCATATGGAAGTTCAGGATCCTCTACGTCTAAGCATTTCTATAAGCTTTCGAGACGTTGTTTCAGGTACGTATACCGGTCGTCGTCCGTTATCGTCGCCACCGCAGTTTCGATCGGCCCCCTAGGCCCTATTACGACGACAAGCTTCCGGGCTCTCGTCAAACCCGTGTAGATCAGCTTCCGACTGCAAAGAAGATACGAGGCGGAGAAAGCTTGGAAGATTATCAAGAAGATGCAATATGGGCGAGATTTGGAACTTTACCACTTTTTGGACCTAAGAACCTTTGCAACCATAACATGATGCATAAGCCATGTACAGCTTTGACGGCCAGACGTATCTCGAATGGCAGTCGTTCCTGTCAGCCACATTCAACTTCTGCAACAAAGCAACAACAGATGTTTCGAAGATGTGAATATCCAGCTCTTCTCAATCAGCTTCTCAAGAAAGATAGGATCGCTCTTCACAACTCCAGTAAAACTCCAGTATTTTGGCCGAGAACCTAGTACCGAAACCTACTTCTGACTACGTGCCATGCTACAACTCTCAACCATCTTTTCAGGGACCAATCCTTTGTGCCACGTTTCAAGACGTTCTTTCTACCTTTTTGACCCACTTCAGCAGTTGGCCGAGCTCATTTCACACGAGTACACCGGCAAGTCGTGCTTCTGGCCATCATCTAAGTGACGAAGCATCTACTATCCGTCGCCAAGCAAGGAAAAATCGCATGTCCCTGACCCTATTCTATCAGGACATCAATTTCCAATCCGATACAGCCCCTGCCCTACGGAAAGCAAACCGGGCGCTTACCTGAGCAGCTTTTGGTGCCATTTGGAGACCGGTAGAAGCACTACCGGGTACTCGCTGCCCTGCGATTTGTGCACAGTCACCGCCCACGCCAGGGAGAGGTCCTCCAGGCACGCCAGCACACCGCTCATCTGCGGGCTGTATACGACCTCCGCCTCGCTGCCAGCCGCCCGGTTATGGAACCTGCGAAACAGTTGGCGCAGATGAAGCGTATGAGAGAGGAGACTTGGGCTGTGAAAGGAAATGGCTGGCAAACAGCGAAGGCTCCGCCTTACCGAAAACTTCGACACGAAGAACGAACTCCACTTTGCAAGAAGCGATGTGCATGCGAAACATCACTGCAAGCACTTGCTCTTGACCAAAACGGACTCGGTAACCAGCACGAGCTGCCATAGGAGATTGCGACATTTGAGGAGTATGGCCTGCAACCTGCTATTGGCCTCGTGAAAAGAGACTTTGAAACAAAGCGCACCTCCTCTCACGTACACAGAATCAGGTCAAGGGATAAGGCTTACCGTACAGTAACCCGCTTTTCCCGCGGGTCCACGTGGCAGACCGTCCCTAGGTCCCCGTTGAACACCGCCCTCTCGTAATCGTTCGACGTTTGAATCACCCGGTCGCCCTTCCGGAACACAACCTGTCGATACTCAACCTCCCCCTTAACCGCGCTCGGCGCGTTAATCAAACCCTGGATCGCGGTATTCAGCGCCGACGTGCCTGCGCCCCCCTTCTTGATCGGGCTCAGCACCTGGACGTCTTTCCGGGGGTCTATTTGCAGCTGGGACAGCAGCCCCCCGGGAGAGATGACTTCTTGCAGAGCGGCGGCCACCTTATACTCGGGCACGTTCACCCATAAGCAGTCGCTCTCGACGATAGCCGATCGGAGCGCGATGACGCCGTCGCGCTCGCTGCTCTCCAGCAGCGCGGCGTGACTGCCCGGTTGAATCCCCCGGGCACTTTCCGCCCCCGAGAATCCGCCCGGTAGTTGCCCCCCGGACGCAGCACTCGGCGAAGTGCTGCCAGCGGATGCGCTTTTGGGCCTGGCTTGCGGGGGTCTGGGAGCGGGTTTCGCTTGGGTTAGCTCGAGGTTAGGGAAACGGCCCTGGTTGATGGCGTGGGCGTTTGTGACGATGGCCGACTGTTGGGCCTGCCGGAAAACCTCGGTTAGCCGGAAGACGGGCACCCGGTTGGAGCTGCAAAGAGGGAATTGAAAGGGCGTCATAGTTGATTCATCTGGATTTCACCTATTTGAGGTCAACTTTGAGGTGATTGGTCAGACGCCGGGCGATGGAAGAAGGAGAAACAAGTAGACGTCTCTTTTGAATGGTGAGGAACTCAGAAGCGACCGGACTGGAAGTCGCGAAAGATGAAACGAACTACGACTGGAAGCACGCCTGATAACAAGTAAAGGTTCTCCAGGAGGACGCGGAGAACTTTGCAGCCAACAAGACCTCAACTTCTCACCCGCATGGTGTTTCTTATTATACTAAAATAGTGTAACAACGTTTTACGAAGATCCGATTTGGCATCAGAAAGCTTTCAAAGAGCAAGCTAAGCAGCCTCGGACAAAAATAAGGGATATAATGCAGGTATGGGTGCGGAGCAGGTGAGTCTGTGGGTCAAAGTTTTCAAACTTAGCGTAGGAGCTTACTAATGCTGAACTCAAGCGACAACAGCGTTCCCCTCCTCTTCTTGGTTAGATCACAATCCTGTCACTTGCAGGATTGCTAAGACGTAGATCAAAGCGTTTAGTCTTTCAGTATGTAACATGGATCAAAACTATTGTGACTAAATGTGTCGACTGGAGTAGCGAGGTCCATCCTATAAAATCTGAACGTCGAAAAGGATTGAAGACTTTTCAACAAACAAGCTTGAATACTTGTTCCAACCCAGAACATATACTCTCGAAACACGAAACTCACTTGATCAGGTCCCTCAGCACGTGGCCCGGCCCCACCGGCGGCAGCTGATCAATATCCCCCACTAACAGAATCGGCGTGTTGGGCGGAACTGCGTAGAAGAGGGCGTCGGCCAGCGGAAGGTCGAGCATGGAGGCCTCGTCCACGACCAAGGCGTCGCACTGCGGGGGTGAAAACGATATGAAGGTCAGAAGACAGGGCCCGCAATGTGAGCGATTGAGTCTGAAACACTTGCTGGGTTCACTTGAGCGAGTTTCTGGTCCTTCTTACTGGACTCTGCACCCAGTCGAGGCAACGTCCGGTTGTTAGTGGCGTAGGTTAATTGCGAGAGAACTTTGTGCGGTAATTGGCGCCTGGACAAAGTGGCCGCCGCCAGGCAGCGCGGGATCCGAGTCAATGTTCTGAGATTGCAATGGAAAGAGGGTCAAGGAGAAGCAAAGGTGGTCAAGAAAGAGCAAAAGCGACAAGGAACAAGACGCACATGAGTAAGCAAACAAAAAGACTCCAGAGCATCAACATAAGCTTGTTCTGGAGCTTAAGTACCATGTTCTCTTGTCCATGATGCCGTTCTTCTTCCCTTTCCGTCCCCCATGAACGGTCAAGCGGCAACGTCGTCCATTCTTCGAGGCCTCACGAGCTTTTGGCCTCAATCCGATCTGGACGTTTCCACCAATCCTCAACTCCCGAAAATGGGAACTTTAAAAGTTCGATCTCTCTTAAACTCCACTCCTCCGCCTGTTTCTGAGCTTCTTCTTCTGAGCTTCCAAGTTCCGTTCCGCCTCACCTCCAACGGATTCCGCGCGTCCCTCGCGAAGAAGTTTCTGGGGAGGTCGGTGACGTCAGCCTCCTCAGCTGCGTCGCCGTTTTTGCCCCAAAACGCCTCCCCGGGCTTGTACTCGAGCAGCCGGTGGATCGTTTTGGCGTCCATTCCGACGGATTCCGCCAGGCGCTGGGCCGCCCGTCCCTGCGGAATGAACGGAAGGGGTTAAACATCTTTGAGAGTAGCTACGATTTGCGGCACGGTTCTTCCAACTTTCGCATCTAAAACACAAACCTGAGCAATTGACCGGGCAAATGCTCGCTCGTCAAAAGTCTATTTTTGTTTGTTCTGGAGGAGGGATTGATCTGAATGTACAAGCTCTCGTTTCGCTCCAAGCAGCCAAACCTCTTAGTAAGAACCAAGGGACAGACGGTTGAAATACGCCGTGGATTGGAACAAGACGGAAGCATAAGCCTGAAGTAAGAAGGATACGTGCAAAGTAGTCCAAGGAACACAGATGGGAAAGCCAATGCAATACAGGAGTGGTTTGCAAGATAGGCATACAGCAATCGATGACGGATATGATGCGACTTGTTGAAGATGGTCAGTCAGCAGTTGAGACAAAATGTTCCGAGTTTCACGACACGATAGGTGGCAAACTTTAGAAACAGTAATTTCCAGAAAGGCAAAGACAACGCACTTGGCGGAGCAAATGGACTAGCTTCGACCAGAACCACAGGCCGAGCTAAGCAACAAAATGAGTAACGCCACGACCAAACACTTCAACATCTGGGAGTCGGCAGCACAAACCACTGTAGAGAAACAAAAGTTTGGACATCTGAAGTCGATTGCATCAACCACAATAATAGAACCAGAAAAGAAAAACTAGAGGTGGCGAACTTCGAGCCACGCACCGTAGGCGCGCAGCACTGCACGGTCTTGCCCATGCTCTTCCAGAGCGCCACGATCGTTCTGAGGGTGTACGTTTTGCCCGTCCCGGGACCCCCCGTCAGGATGAGCATCGGCGCCGTCATGGCCATTTCGACAGCCTCTCTCTGTTGCGCTGAAAGCTCGTCAGGAGCCCCGTTTTGGCTCTCGACCGACCACTGACCGGCGGAATCCGAGGGGTTGGGGCGGTGGGTCAGCCGCGTCTTGACGTTCTCGGCGAGCGACACCTGGCAGCAGGAGAAGAGGGGTGTGAAGATTATTTCTTGGCAGGATTCACGCGTTTGTGAAGTCAGGGAGGCGCGCATGACTTTCTCAGTGAGTGCCCAGTTGGCAGCATTTGGCGGATAGGGTTCGACGTGTCCACGGATCTGGGCGAGTTGTTGAGCCACGCCTTGTAATCCGCGAGACCGACACCTGGCAGCAAAAAGAAAGTGGTGCGCAGATGCCCCGACAGGTGTCGCTTCGATCACCTAAGAACCGGCCTCCCACATACACTCTGCCCCATCGTAAGGTAAGTGGTAAGGCCGGAATTGCCTTTCGGAGATTTGTAAATGCATTCTGATCTTTGAAGCGTACAGAAGCGTACAGAAGTAAATGCATTCTGATCTTTGAGGCGTACAGAAGCGCCAGAAGCGTACAAAAGCTAACATAGATTTCAGGAAAATCGTAGACAAGGTGCTCAAGGACTAACGGCCTGACCGACTGCCTGTTGAAATAGTTGAGAAGCACTCAAGGAACGTTCTCGAAGCGCAGCTTTCGGGAGTCCGGGTACAACGTCTTTTGCCAAAGTGAACCACCATCTACAGCCCGAAAATCCAGAGGTAAGTTCGCACCAGCTGTGGCGCTTTGGAATCTCACCTCAGCCGTATGCAACACCGGCAAATAGCACCGGGCGGCGTCGCCAATCCAGCCCGCCAGTCTTTCCTCGTCGTTAGTCCCCCCATTTCCCTCCACGACGAGCTTCGCTCTCCGCACCAAAACCCTCAACCCCTGCTCGAACGCCTCCCTATCCGGCTCGACCCCCCACCCCTTCTCCCGTTCCTCCTCGCTTAACCCCCCGGTTTGCGCTAACAGCTCCGCGGTTTGCGCCCTAACCTCCCTCCACGGCAGGTAGGTGTGTCCGTCGCTTCCGCAGACGGACGTGAGAACGGAACGGATGGCGGAGGTGAGGCGGCCAGTGAGAGACGGACACGTGCCCATGCTGCGCGCGAGCGCGTCGGCCTTGTCGAAACCGAAGCCGTGCACTCCCGCGGTTGCCTCCCAGGGGTCGTCGCGAACGAGGGTTTCCGTCTTGTCCCCATGACGGCGTACCTGGATGTGACAAGGAGGTGATGATTTTCTACCTTGAGTAGAACGCGCTTCCGATGCTGGCGTTTTTCATGCCACAAACAAGGAAAAGGGGATCGATCCTGCCTGTTCCCTTGTCAGTGCGTTGGTGTTCTGGCCACGCCCGAAGTACAAGCGTTCTTATTGTTCCCAGCACCGAAGATACTTGCGTCCAAAGCGAAACTCAGCGGACTGAAATCAAGCTGGCCGCCTGACGCAGTTCGAATCTTGATTCAAAACTTTTTAGGGCTGTACAACCGCAACAGGTGTGTCATCGGTCGGCTCGGAATTCAATAACACTCCGTTCGATTCAAGCCAGATAACTAGGTTTGCGTTCACAAAGAAATGAAAGGATCCTCGCGTTCGACGCAAAAGCTACCGCTTGAATCAACCTGCCCGCCCGACAGATCTGACAGCTTAAACTGACAGTGAAAATTGCCCAGTGGCCAGGATGAAGACATTGAACGGCTCACATTCCGCAAATACTCAACCCAGGTCAAGTAGCCAGGTTCGCCAGGTTAGAATAAGTACTTAAGTGTGCGACAAGGGAAGGGAACGTACGATGCGCTGCGCTGCCGATGCGGGCACCCCGTGTAGCTGCAGAAAGTCCATCGTCTTGCGGACGCCCCGCCGCTCCTCCCAGGCGGCCTTGATTTCGGACGCTGTCGACCGTCCGATGCCAGGGACCTGCGGTCAGATACGAGTGTGTCGACTTTAGTCTGTCTCAAGTTCTCCCTTTCCAAACACGCGAAGGTTGTCCTGTTATGCATCCAATCACTGGTTCCGATTAAAGACCTTGGTAAGGCTAGAAAGCTCTGGCAAGACAGGCACTACATTCAGAGCGTCAATTCCATCGGACCTCGTTCCTTTCCCCACTTGTGCATCTCGAACGCTCCTCTGTTCTCTGTTGTTATCCCCTTAAGTCAGTAACAACCAGATTGAAGCCGAACAATGGCCCTGCGTTCCGGATTGCAAGACCTACTGAAGGCAAAAGCTCGATCGAAGAGACTACGTCGCTTCACGGCCAGTGATACCTGGAGGAGCTTATTCTGCATGTGTTTCATCCTTCATCTCTTCCTCTTCTCCTGTTCCTTGCGGTCAACTTTCGCTTCTTTGATCACCGCTTGTCCATCCTCGCTCAAGCAACACCAAGTTTCATAATGTTGGAACATACTAGAACCCAGCCAAAATAGCCTCAAGAAAAGTTAAGTCTGGCGAGCGAGGCCTTACCTGCTGAAGCTTCTTTACGGCGTCACTGCTGTCGAGCATCTTGAGTGACTGGTCGCCGTAAATGCCCACAATAGCGGCAGCCCGGACCGGGCCCACCTGGGCAAAGAACACGGACGCTCAAACAGTGGAACTCCGTACTGTTGAGAATCTAGGAATTGGATTCTCGACTTCCTCAAAAGGGTCGCCAGGCGTTTGTGCTAAGGAAGACGAAAGTCGACTCGACAGGTTCGAACTTGTGTCTCGACGAACGCAATGTCGAGAAACCAGATGAGAAGTCGATGATACTTGAGGGGACCAAAATAGGCCATCCTGCAGTGTGTGTTTTAACCGAGAACATTTAAAGGAGCGACTTAACTTGTTCGGACATCTGACTGAAACGGCCTGCTTTGGCCCAGTGCATTTCGCAACCATGCTCAAATATGTCCGACGCACTCAAGCGGGGTTGGATTCAAGATAGATGCAGGCGTTTTCTGCGGGCCTTTGACTGGCGCATATTGGCGGAGCCGCAGTAAGAGATGGAGCACAACCTAGCTCCTCTCCTACGTGTCAGGAAGTGCTCGAACAACAAAACGCCATCGGAAGCTCAACTCAAGGCGTTCACAAAATCAAACTAGGTGTAGAAGTAATTCCTCACCTTGGGCAACGACCCTCCCCCCAGGTACGTAACTAGATCGGGGAGGCTCGACACCTCCATCTCCTCGCACCCGGCCGCCACGAACTCCCGCCCAAACTTGGCGTTGTCCCGCCAATTTCCAGTCAGCCTCAACGGCTGGCCTTCCGCGATCTTGGGTAGCGTTCCAACCACCGTCAACAGATCCTCCCCCTCCTTTCCCGCCTTAGTTTTACCCCCCCACCCCCGCTTTTGAGTGCCCGGTACATGCGCCCCTAAATTTGAGACGTCCCCCACCGGTTTAACCCGGGCGATCACGTAACCGTTGTCCTGGTTTTCGTAAACGATTCTCCGGACCACAGCTTCGAGTGTGATTTTCTCTGTGGAGGGGGGTGCGGAACAGGCCTGCGGAACCCCCCCGTTTGCGGGCTTGGTTGGTGCGGACTCCATCGAAGACGCTTGGGTTTGCTTTGCTGACTTGCGCGGGTTGAGCGTTTTGGGTTTGGCCTTTCTCATCTTCATTTCGGGGATCTTCCGCGTTTTTGGGGCTGCCGCATCTTTAGCGGGGGCATCCATAACTTGGGGGTTCGGGGCCTCGGTTTGGAGTGTACTTACAGACGACGTTGAAGTTTGGGGCCTGGCCATGGTAACCGGTTCGATACTTGGGGAGTCGGGTTTGACCAGAGTTGCGCTTTGAAAAGGAGTTGAGCCTGGAGTTGCGAACTGGGGGACAGCAAAGTCTAGCTGGGTTCCGTTTGGGGGTGGATATACACTCAGGTTTGCGGGCTGGGTTCCTGCGGGGATTGACCGACTGTTTGCGCCAGAACTTGCTGCCCCCATTGGCTTCTCGCCACGAGAGCTCATCTTGAGCTGCCCTCCGCCGTTCATCCCGTTAGCTTGTGAGGCATTTTCTTCTGCCTTGCCCCTCACGACTCCTCCCTTCTTTTCTCCCCCCCCTCTCAGCGCCGTCCCAAGGGCCGATCTCTGGAACAAGCTCTTCGGGTACTCTTTCCCTACGGAAGCTACCGGTTTATCTCTGATTACCCCCACCGACGCAGGGGAATCCTCCACGTGTTGCTCAATATCCCCTCCCCTGCCCCGCACTGCCAATACCCGTGACGATGTCTGGAGTTTGCCAGCCTCCGCTCCATTAAGTCCGAATGAGGAGATACGCCCTTCGCTCGGCGTTTGTCTGTCCAACCCCGCCCCCTGATGTTTCATTTCAACCGGAGCAGTGTGGTCAGCCGCAGCCTTCCAACTTTGGCTAGGTTGCGCTGATCCAGCTGAGGGAAGGAGTTCTGAGAATGCGGCCCCGTTATGCACTGTAATGGCAGCGTTCGGGGCTCCGTTTCCGACATAAGCAAAAGCTGGCTCCAAATCCTTGGGTCTTGCGGCAAGCGCCAAGCCCCTGCTTGACGCCTGCGTTGCAACCACAGCTCCGGATCTGGCCAACCCATTGAGCCCAGAAGGCCCTCCCCTGTCATCAGCAGCCCCGTTGCTTACATACGCGGCCCCGTTGCTTCCGTGTGCGGCCCCATTGCTCATGTCAGCAGCCCCATTGCTGACATATGCGGCCCTTATGCTACCGTGTGCGGCCCCATTGCTTACATCAGCCGCCCCACTCCTGCTGATGACGGTGCGCGCCCCTCTGCCGACATCAGAAGCTCCGTTGCTGACGTCAGCTTGCATCAGTAAGCTTGGCTCGTGCCAAAAGCGACCCTGAGCGCTCCTCTCCTTCTGGGGGGGTGAAACACCGCCTCCGCTCGAGGGTGAAGCTGCCCCCCTGCCGGAAGTCGACCCCGTGTCCAAGGACCTTGCCCTCCGGTCTGCATCATTGGTAAGTTGCTCAAATTCTCCCCGGGACAATTCGGCACTCGGGGGCGAAGCGGAACGCGCATTTTGACCGCCACTTGCCTGGGTGTCAGACACACCGTTTTGTCTCGACGACAACGAAGCCCCCCCATCGACCCCTCCCCGACCCTGTAACTGATCCACCCCTTGTATCCTGCGGGACAGATTGTTCGCCCGCCTCGCTTCGTGAGGGGCTTCCCTGACCCCCCGATATGCAGTCAAGCCCGGCGCCCCAAGCTGCTTGCCCCTCCCCATTTTCTGGTCTTCCAACTCCGGGGTCTGTCTCCGGACCGCCTCGGAGCTCTGTCTCCGAACAGCGTCCAGACCGCGCTGCTTCCGCGTCCCCAGCACGACGGCATCGCCGCTGACGTCAGCAAGCTCCGTATTCACACCAGAGTCGAGTAACTGCGCGGTCCGTCTCCCAGAGTCTCGCTCGAGTGCGACGGCGGCTCTGCTGATGGAAGCAGACAAAGTGCTGACCTGAGCGCAAGTAGAATCTCTGGCGCGAGCGATCCCGAAATCAAACCCCTGTGAGTGGGCAAATGGCCCACACAATGCTGCAAGGCTTCCGAACGTGCTCCCACCACCCCAGGGTTTCAAGGAAGGGTCAACCAGCTTCCACCTGGCAATTGCACAAGAGCTGCCACAGGGTTTAGATGCTAACCCCACTTGAGAATGCATTGCAAGTCTGTGGCCTTCAGACTGGCCAGATGCAATTGGCACTACCCCCAGAGAGTGGAAGAATCTTTTCCAGTGTTGTGGAGGCTTATCAAAGACTCTCAGCGTGGCTGATAATGTCACCATGCAATTCATTGGTCGCTACCAGTCCCGATTGTCCCATGCTTCCTACAAATCGTGAAACGCAACCTCGTTCACCATCTTTGTGCAGAGATCACACATACCACCCCGTATATAATGTGCATTTACAATCTGTTTCGTTCAACAGACTCCAAGTATATCCCTTGGATGATTCCCTCCGGAGCCCTGAAACAAAGAATGGCCAGCACTGGCAGCAGTGGCGTTGGAAAGCAAGCGCTCTCAGAGTCAGAGTCATGTAGCCTTAGGCAGAGTCGGTAAGCCTTGAGGCGCGGCCGCTTCAAGGGCCCGCGCGGTCTTACCCGCCAAAAGCAGTTGGCGCGACCCTGCATTTCCCCCCAACTCCGCTAGGGAGATCGCCCTTCCCATGGGCTATCTGCCCCATAAGAGCCTGGCGCCTGGCCTTATGGGCTGGCTC